TACTATAAGTATCTATATGAAAATATACGTATTGGTTAATCGTTCATTTCTTCTGTAAAATATATGACACCAATTCTATTGTTGTAACAAAAACTCTCAAAAATAGGTACTTAAATTAAAAATTCCAATATTTTTATTTCGATTTTATCGTTTGTCGTAAATTACTATTGTTCTAGAAATAAAAAGTAAAATGAAAAATCCTAAGTAGTTTCTGATTTTTCTCTTTTTTTCTAATCAATAAATTAGCGACTTGTAAACACAGAACGGAAACCAAAAATATGATTCTACTATGTTTTGAAATATTAGGAAACTAAATTACCAGCTAATTAGATAAGTGCCTACCCATGCATTTTATTTTATGATTTTAATTTTAAAATGAACTGATCTCGATTCTTTATTTTATGCAATATATGACATAGGGTTTCCCACGAAGAGTCAAGAAAATTTATTATTTTTCCATAGGACAAGTAAAAAGTAAAAAGACAGCCTCGAGGCGAACATCGAGTACAGCGCTGTCACGTCATTGAGCTTCAATGAAATAAAACTTTTATTACCTTTCAAATTTATTTGATTAAATTTCTACACAGAGACAGCATTACTCACGTCGCCGAGTTCTAGGCGGTTTTTATAAAAGAATAGGATTGCAGCTTAGTTTCTAACTACATTCTTCATCACTTCTAATTTCATCATGAAAATTCTTTCACCTTCAATAAGCTACATCATACGCGAGTGACATAGGTTATAATTTACACGGGCGAAATCGCAAGAAAACAGCTAGTTATTCATATACAGTGCCGTAGTGAATATTGCTTTGTAGAGTTCTAAACTTCAGTTTTGTTCAGTTAAACTATGTTTTCATTTGTAAACAAAGACATAAATAAAGATATGTTATTGGGCCCCTGAGCCGGTTCAAACTTTGTGACAGATCTGGTGATCGGAAGGTTGGTTTGTCGCTGCAAAGCCCAAAGAGTCAGTCGTATGGTTATTCAAAGAGGAAACGCTCTCAGCCTTCTGGGCGCCTTACCTGTCGGGCTTGGGGAACACATTTTATCTAGTACAGTTTTAGTTTAATGTATAGCTTGGATATGTAGTTTTATTACTATATTTATAAATACACGACACTCTTAATTTCGTATAGAGGAGTTTAATTCATGGTATATTTCTTGCATAAAAGCAACAACAAAATGTCATCAGAGTAAACTTTTTTTATTTATTTAGTTCAGCAATAATCGATATAAAACTATTTATTTATTGTAAATTATTAATTAATTGTAAAAAATTTATTGATCTCGACGGCACTAAAAACAACGAAAAAAACAAAGTGCAACTGACGAACTTTACAATTTATAACTATGGTTGAGGGTGACCTTATTTTCACGTTATATTTTTAATGTATACAGGTGGCATTATTATATTAATAGGGGTGGGGGATGTTGCGAAACACAAGCGCCTGTAGAGTATCCAAGTATTTGGACGTCTAGAAGACATCCTGCGCAAAATATATTAATTGGAATATGTACATAATGTCTCTTATGAATTCAAAACAGGTTGTTCTTTAATTACATCGGTAATACCTACAATAATACTGTTATCTCCCAAGAGTTACGTAGATATGAAAAATCATGTAACTTTAAATTTTACATCATGCCACGACTGACCTAAGAGTTTGGATTAAAACTAAACAGACGTTATTGGTAATTTGAATTTAACTAACAGTTTTTTTTTTTACTTTTTGCTGTAATTACGGCACAGCATAACAAGCAGCAGACGTATTTCATTATTCTTTCATTTTTGAGCCAACAAAAAGAAATCCATTCTTCCGTAAATTACACTGTTGTCACCCTACTACTCGTAAAGAGGACGATGCGTGGCACGTGCCGCGCCACCTTGTCATGCGACAGGTGAGATGCGCGTGCGCAGGGAAACGGATATTCCGCATGTTCCTAGTCATATTAGAGGGGTGAAAGTTCTTTGTTAACAAATTGCTGGATTAGGCGTTAGCCGCCTTCATATGTAATTTAATTTTCCTGAACGATTAACGTATAACGGGAAAATTATTCCTATTATTAAATATCAAAACTTTTACAACCGGTTCTTAAAATTATAATATATTTCTTAAGCAATCTATACTTTCTAACACAATAGTAGGTATTGGAACTATTCTTCAAATTTTCAAATCGTCATATAACTTTCATATTCGAACTACAATATCGAACTTTAGAGCTTTGTTTACTGCTTTTTGATCTTACCATTGCTATGTCAAGCGGGTATGTATTTTCGTTAAAAAAAAATCAGAAAAACATCCCAATTGTTACCTATGAGTATACTCAACTGCGTAAATCTTCCTGAACCACTCAACTTATTTGTATCAGTGAACATTTACGCGTAAACAGATGGCTGGTTCACGATCCGTGGTACGTACCCTCAGCGCGCCGGCCGCCGTAGCGGCGCCTGTTATGCGGTCGATATAACGAGCTCGCTTCTAACTACAGAACTCTATAGGCAGCGGTTTCTTATAAGCGTTCGTGTCGTTTTATATATTCACTAGCTATTTCCCCCGAATTTGCCCGCTGGAATTATAGCCTATGTCACCCGCGTGTGATGTAGCTTCCCGTTGGTGAAAAAAGGTTTTAAAATCGGTCCTGTAGGTTGTCAAAATATTCAAATCTTTCCTCATTATGATATTAGTATTATGTATGTAAGGGAAAATAGAAAAAAAAACATACAGCAAGTATCGACAAGCTTTAACAGCTACCCATGTAAGAAAAATTCAATTGATTAACATTGATAAACCCGAAGAAGAAGACCGCAATGAAAGGATATCAAGAGGATACCATTATTTTATTTTTAATGCTTATATAATGGGGTCAAATATGTACCAGCTGACAATAAAAGATCTATGCGCCGCTTGATTGATAAACTTTTTCCTTTGGGATTTTGTGTAACTTAATCATTGGCAGAGGCTATACATTGTACTGCAATGAAACTTAGATATCTTCAACGCGTCAATAATGTGTACAGTCTAAACCGCGACATCACTAACCGCAACTCTAGATGAAAGCAACCCCTTACTGCCCTCCCCAAGGAGGTTCTGAGAACCATATGATGATTTTGTGATACTTTACTGAAGTTCTAGGGACAAATGTTATTTTCAAATTAACTAATCTTTAATTTGATTGGAATGGAATGGAATTTTTAATATGATTCTCCTAATTTTTTTCTAGACGGATATACGATATTTATACGAAAATATGTCGTTGATACGATCAAACCGACATACTACTTTGTTTTGAGAATATAAAGTTTTTTTTTTTAATAAACTTTTTAAGGCGGTGACACAAACACTACCCTCGACACATTCATCAAAATCATCATCTAGTAATTCTAGGTATAATCCAGCCGTAATACATATCTTTCGTGAGATTCTATAACCTCTACTAGCTAGATATATAAGATATACAACAACGTACATTTGTATGAGTACCAACACAGCAGCTCCTCAGCTGATTGACATTCCTGCCGCGGTGCGTCGGCGCCGGTGGTCGCCAGAGGCCTGAATACCTCTCGGCGCCAATCCCCTGCAATATTTTGTTAATCGACCGAGTTTCTAATTAGGGAGCGTTGCCAACCGACTACACACAATTGTCCTATTGATAGATGTCATGTAGTATTAACGATGAACATGTTGATACAATAATCTTCGATCATTAATATTCGGTAACCGAAACAGGTGTTTGATATCGAAGATCTTGATATTTATATGGAATTTAAAGACATTTGCTGAACCAATAGTCCCCTATTTTCAAAGTTCCATAGATAGGCTTGCTGTGTTTTACTTCCAGTTTATAAAAAATATCAAATAAAAACTATAGTAGGCAATAGAATGTTTCAAAGTGTAGGAACAAGAGCGTACATATAGGTTAACCTAATATTAATCAACATAATCATCTCCTAATATTAATCATCTCCACCCAAATTGGTTTTATTTTCTTGATAAATACATTTTATGTAAATTTAACAAAAATTGTAAAGAGGCGAAATACGCGATCTTTTGTTTTCTTTTATGATATAAATATATCATCCAAGTATTTTCGTTATTTGGCAGAATGCACCAGTAATTTTATTAGAAAAACAAAACTACTATTATAATCCGACTTAAAAAACGAGACTATAGTTTATGGAACCTATAAAATGTAAATAGTATATATTTATATCTTATAGGTATTAATATTTTGAAAATCGGACTACAATGAGCGGATAAGTTTGAGGACTTATTAAAAAAAATAGACATCGAAAATCGATGTAAAGTAGGAAAATGACCTACTGTATGGTCAGACACGGAATATTTCACATTCTCAGAACTATAACTAATAATGCTTGATATAGCCAGCGATCCACATCTGTGCCCGCTACTAAACGTTCGAGTGCTGCCAAAAGTTAATTACGTTGTCGTGTGTATTGATATCGAAAATTCATAGGCTCATAAACGAATAAAACGTTCATATTATAACAACACAAATAACAAGTTTTTCTTGTCATTTACAGAAATCTTATAAGTATACTATTATAGGAATAAAAATCTTAAAAGGCTCAAATAATTTTAAATATAAATAAACGCACTTTTATTATTTTCCTTCGTTTCAAAAAAAAATATCTAAATAAAATTCATGGTTCTAGTTACAATTAGATCTCCTAGACCTATATTTTTCTATAACTTATCTAATTCTGGCACCTTATTATTATGCTATCACTGCCCCCTAGCAGGGAATAGCTGAAATAATGAAACCCGAAATACAACTGAAATTCACGTGCTGTTGATGTCCTCTAGTGGCGGATAGCTGAAAGAATAAAGCATATTTTAGTAAGTATTGCTACTACTTAATGCTAGATGACGCCACTTAAACACAATTTTTTTTGTATGAAAATTCTCTTGAAGGACAAATAGTCTCTATGGCACTCTGTGCTGACATATTTTAAAAATAGTCATCGCATTACGTTGCATTGCGTCATTCATTATCACACGAGATGGAAACATAACATCTAAACGTAAATGTTTCATTGATATTCCATTCATAGTCACGAAAGTGTAATAATTATTATCTTCATACAATAAACGAAACATTAGTCGTTTCACAAAGTTTAACATTTTTTTTTTTTATTGACAAATTAAACTTCTCTTTTCTAAGTAATAAGGTGTCCAATTAATATAGTCCATAGTGGGTTTAAGTTTAGTTTCAACTTCGCAAGATGTCGTTAAAAAAAGTTCTTATTGTGAACAAATCTTATCCTGTAGTGGGATTAGACATTTTAAGGCTAAAGTAAGTACTACACACTTCACTCTTAGGTTACTTATATGAGTAGGTAAGTACCTAAGTAGAAATAAAGTCATATGGAGCAGCATTTTAAGAATAAATCTCTGTAAACTAAAAAATAAATTAAACAAATGTGAGCCAGATTAGCAAAGAGTAGTTTCCGTGTTTTATTTTTTTATAAAGTACCAGCAATAGAATTGTATAGAAAGAATGGGCCATAGCCTACCACGAAAGGCATCGCAAATTGATACCGATCAACCCGTTAACGACTGTAGATGCAACCGAGATCAACGGCTTAACGTGCCTTCTCAAGCACGGAGGAGGAGCTCGAAATAATAAATTGATTTTGTACGCTGCTTAACGTCCGCATCGCGGACCAAACGCACTACCACTGTGCAATTTTGTGTGCCATCAAGCTTCATAGCACCATCAGCAAGTAGGTAGGTAAATGAGCTTACGAAGCTTTTTCATTTCATAGATAGATAGATAGATACCTTAAATCAAACACTGTCGCAAGTATGCTCATTTGAACTCACTCCGTGGCGGTGTTTGTAGTTTGTAAATACTGCGAGAGCACATAGCATATCTTTCCTTCAACTTAACATATGTCTAGATAAACGCTCAAAATAAAAGACAAAATAGATCCCAACAATTCGTTTTTCTCAATATGTTAAAAATAGACTTTTTAATCGATTGTGATAATTTATACTTTGTTGTAGAGTATGGAGGTAGTGTTGTTGGTAGCCCGGCGAACTCTTTGCCTTGCTCCTTCCTCGTTTCCCTTCATAACTTTCTTTATTTGATTACCTATTATTTATTTCAAATATAGCAACACGATTTGATATTATATAAACAAAAAAACAGTAGTGCTGTAGTCTATTTTCTTTTGCCGAGTACCCTCTACGCTTCAGAGTAAAGCTCACATTTCTCTAATTTAATGTGCTGCGGTATGTACAGCCAAACTCTTCAAAAATCCTGCCTACCGCCTAACTCAAAGTCAAAGCGATAAGATGGTTTTATTTGTTAACTCACTGATTATGATTCTATCTTATCTTTTATAATGATAGGTACTTATGTTCTTATTAGATACGTGAGTTGAACCAAAGAGGCGATTTGCCGCGTATGCTATGGTACACAGAACAAAGAATCAAATCAAATCAAATCAAATCATTTATTGCATGTCACATTAAAATTATAACATAGTAATTATTTTGTTGCTCGTGTACATGTGACGCCCTGTAAGGGCATGGCAATGTTACAATACAATACAATACAATAAAATAAAATAAAATACAAATACCCAAAATTAAATAATATTAGAAATTACATGTCAAGAAACTTATAACAATATATATTAACAATAATTAAATTAAATATAAATTAGGCATTTCAAATATCACAATGTTCATCAATAACAATTTTTAATTTATTAATAATAGTATAATATTTATGTCAATTTTTCATTAAAAAATTCATCTATATTGTAATATGCTTTATTTAGTAAGAATAATTTTAATTGATTATTAAATGACATTTCTGTTTCCAGATTTTTAATATAATTTGGTATATGATTATAGATTTTTATTGACATAGCATGCGGGCCTGACGAGACTATTTCTAATTTTGAGAAGTGCATTTCTAGTTTGTTTAAATATCTATTGCCTCTCCTAACACTTGTTATAGGTGTATAAAATTCTGGGTGTTTTCTTACGAACTTACATGTTTCAAGAATATATATTGATACAAGAGTCAGTATTTTGTGTTTAATAAAATGAGGACGACATGATTCCATTTGATCGATATTAGACATTATTCTGATACACTTCTTCTGTAGTATAAATATTTGATATACATGACATGAGTTTCCCCACAGAACAATTCCGTAGGATAGAATTGAATATGCATATGCGTAGTAAGCTGTAAGGGCAGTTTTAAAATCCGTTACACGTTTAAGATGATGTAGTGCATATATATAAGACGACATTTTATTTACTGTCTTTTTAATATGTGTTTTCCAATTCAAACACGTATCCAAATCCAAAGAAAGACCTCTTCTGTGCTCTCTGGTAACGTAGGTCACATCCCCGTACCTATATTGAGAGCCGAAAATGCGCACATAGTGGAGCAACCGCCTATCTCTTTCGCTATAACTGTAACCATAGCTATAAAAACGTTTTATTGACTTTCGGTCAGTTGTACAAGCGTCCATTAAGGTGTAATAACGCCTTTAAGCTGTGATGAATGTCAAATTTGAATCGGTAATAATAAAAGAATATAATCATTTTTTTTTTGTTAAAATCAATAAAACATTTAGCGTTAGGGTTCGTAAATTAATATAAACGGGATCCTATTTCTAAGACTGCACTGTCTGTCCGTCTGTCACCAGCCTGTAACCACATGAGCCATGATAGCTGGGTAATTATTTTTTTCACAAATTATATATTTCTGTTGCCGCTATATCAGCAAATAAGTATTAAAACTACTATATGAATATGGCTTTGACAGTAGTGTTTCCAACTTAGTAATTTATTCCAAATTTATCCCGCAAAACACATGCCAAAGTAGTAAAATGACACAAAACATCAAATATTCGCTAAGATGTCGTATCCTATGAGTACAATCTTGGATAGGTAAACAGTTATACTTATGTATATTACCTTTGGCGTTCTACTTTCAGGGTCGAAACAAAACATTCTGCAATATCTAGATTATGAACCAGAAAGTCTTCCTGAAATAAAAAAGAATATCGAAGGATGTGATGCTTTAATATGGAACACTAAGCATCAACTTACACCCGAAATACTAGACTTGGCAGGTATAATAATAATCAAAACTTTATTAAAATATTATAATTTGTAAAAAAACTTTTTGGTAGATACGATGTCGTTTTAGCAATATATGCTATTTCTATTATATTTTCTATTTTCTAATTATATTTTCTTTTGTGAACACTTTTTATCACTTTTAAATATTTAACAAAATACGCATATAAAGATAGTAGTATTTTTCGTACAATAATGTAAGATATATGAAAAAGCCCCCTATACACTTTTATCCGCTATGAGGAAGGCGGATAATACAAAGTTTTATGTGTACTGTTTATGTTGTCTATGTACTAAAACTAGCTTTAACTATCTCAGAAAGTACCCTATGAATTTTTATGATCATCAGTAGGTGAGCGAGTGAGTTTTTTTAGATATGAATAATATCTAAATTGGAAGATCTATTATGAGATTTCAAAAAAACGACGAACCGTAAAGTCGATAGTGTCCTTACGCCTTACGTTTTGTTTGGCTTGTCATCTTTACGGCCTCTTCAATGGTCCTATATAAGTGTAAAAACTTATCTACGACTTACACTAAGAAATACAATGTCTAAATTTGTACACAGATTAAATTTGCTCTAGTTTAGTACACTATGATGTCGCTAGTTCTATTTTATTATCAACCAATTTGTTGTTTAATATACTTTCTATAAAAACTGTCGTTTCTGTAGGCCCCCAGCTAAAAGCCGTATCGTCTATGTCTTCTGGTCTGGACCATATCAGGGTAGAGGAGCTCAAAAAACGCGGTATTGCTCTCGGTAATTGCCCTCACGTTCTCGATAATGCTGTAGCTGATATTGCTGTGGGACTGCTAATTGGAGCCGCTCGTAAATTCAAGGCTGGCATTCGGGAATTGGAAAGGTATAATTTCAAAATAAAACTAAATTCTCTTTGTCTAACAAAAGTGTATGGTGCTATTCTCATTTAAAAAAATATATACACAACCGAGTTTTTGGATCAATCATGTAATAATAATAAACTTCTTATATAGTTACTGGAGTGTAATTATACTTCTTAGATTTTAATGCGACAAAATAATAACGTCTGCAATAGGGAGTGATGCAAATATTTTTTTTTAGTTAAGAAAGTGGCACGTGTTATTATACCTCGTGTGTTCATAAATTTTGAGACGAATTAAAAGTTGCGTAATAATAACCTTTTTATTGTTAATATTTATAGTAACCATTAAACAGATAATAGTTAACAAAAAATATATATATTTTATTCAAAATGACCGCCCTTGTTTTTAATGTAGGCCCTTAAACGATTTCGCCAGTCATCAATGGCAACACGAATCTTTTCTAGCTGAATTCGCTTTGCTTCTCGAACAAGGGTTCGCTTCAGTTACTCCAACTTTGGGTGGGACTTTCGACAAGTCCCGAGCTCTAATTCAGTCCATAAAGAATAATTCAGATGGTTGAGGTCGGGGCTGGGAGGGCCACTAATCCGCCGCGATGAAGGCCGGCACATTCTCCCTCAACCATGCTTGGGTGCTCTGCCTTATAGGATGACGCCGAGTCTTGCTAAAAAACCCAATCCTACGAAGAATATATTCCTGGCATCATGTCTCCTCAGCAGCAATGGACAACGTTCACGTAGTAACTTACGAAAACGATAGTTTTAATTCACTTTTAAAACTATCGTTTTCGTAAGTTACTACGTATAAACGTACTATTATAGGCTTTTAATTAAGATCATATTTCAGTATTTTGTTCACTGCATCGCGCAAAATATTAGTCTGCAGAGCGAGTTTCTTCTGAGTGCGACATGGATTTCGGCGAAATCGCTCTCGGATGATTTTGATGTTCGCAGGCGTCTTCACAGAACGTGGCCAACCATTCTCTTGGCGATCTTGGCGAGCACTTGCCTCTTTGTACCGCTATATTGTGTAATAGATGAAGTTACGGCTTTCAGAAAAACTTTTCAGCTTGCGGAAAATCTGCATCGGTTTCTTTTCCCGCGAAATGAAAGTCGCACGTAATTGTTTCGTTCACTCCATCACGAGAAAATATATACAAATGAATTTGCAATACAAATAAACTAAAAGTTTACATTCCAAATTTAAAATCGGGAAAAAAATAACAGCCAATAAAATTTTATTTTATATTTTCAGTAAAAAGTTTGTCTTAAAACTTATGAACACACGAGGTATATTTTCACTCATATTCATGCACTTTTACATACTACCCTATTTACATGGTCTTATGTACGTCCTTTATGATGTTGTTCATTTTATTTTTCTAACACAAATCATTTTATTTTGCTAAAAAAACAAGGTAAAATAGTAAACAGTGACTATGAGGTCCAACATAAATTAAAAACCGTCACTTGAAATTTATAGCTGAGCATTCTTTAAGGAAAGTCAGCCTGTCTAAAAAGGCAAACCAGGCAACTGCCTACCAAGCTCGTATTTCGGAGGCGGCATAGCATGATAAACGGATTATATTTACTTCAATTATAAATACAGAAAATAGTTTTGCTGTTTGAACATAAGTCCATGTCCAAAAGTACAAACTTTTCAGACCAGCACAACCTCGTTCCAGTGCTTTGCCTAAGGCGCCAAGTTTCATTGAACCAACGCTGAAAACAAATAAAGTCTTTGAGTTAACCTCGCTAAATCCACTAATTTTACCGATACAATTTAGAACCTTAAGTAAACAGACAAACCCGAATTCGAATTCATTCAGGTTTCCGAATTAACTTCAAAAAACGGCATCCGATCAATATTGAATTGGTAATAACGTTTCGTGTCATAAGTGGAGTGAGTTTCGAAATGACATAGGAATAGAATATGTGAAACGATGCAATTAATTTAGTTTTGTATTCTTGTACAATTAAAAAAAAAAACAAAAAACCCGACTGCGTAAAAACGAATTTTAAAAAATACATGAAACAACAAAGAATGCTCAGCTATAAATTTCTTTAAATTATTTATTTTTATTTTATACTTTTTAGTTATCTATCGAGTTCATCTATCGAGCTTGGTGATAAACTTTTTTTACTCGGCGACTTGGCGATGAATAAAAGTTTTTTTTTTTATTATTAAAAATATGTGTTCTTCGTGCTTTTTCACTGTTTTTTTTTTTGTTTGTATATCGTTTATGATTTAAATAAAAACTTAAATCAATAATTAAGGAAATTAGCGAGAATGATTGTATTGTTAAAAAACTTTAAATCGTTATATGTCCTAAACTATTTTTTAAAATGAAAAATAATAAAAGGAACCTAAAGATGATTTTAAAATACCTATTCAACGACACCCCATTTGATATAGTTCATCGACTTTTTTTTTCATTTTGACAATATGGCGTCTGGTTGTCGCTGTGGTGAATTTTGATTACTGTCATGTCTTCAGTGACACTCGCAAGGTTAAGACGAATCGGTTGACGTAAAAATCATCAAAATTGGCATACGCATTTGGTCTCTAGAACGCCACATAGAAACAAACATACATACATACATAGACTGATAATAAACACATTACCCTTCTTTGCGACGTGCAGTCGGGTAAAGATTGGAATCAATAGAATTTCTACTCTAAATGATGTGCATTCGGAGACATGAGGGAATTCGAATTCGGGTCTAAATATTTACAGTATCGCAGGGCTGTTCACTCATAAAAGCGAGAATTCTAACAAAAAGTTCTTATTTCAGCGGACAATGGAAATATGGTGTACAATGGTCAACTGGGTTAGATATCGCAGGCAGTACGGTTGGCATTATTGGTTTAGGAGGCATCGGTCAGGCAATCGTGCGGCGGCTAAAAGGTTTCGACGTTGCCAGATTCCTGTATTCCGGCAGATCCGACAAACCACAAGGTAAATTACACTAGTGTATGTATAACAAGATTTTGAACATTTCTCTCATTCATATAAATTCTTCACCTAATTTGTGCATCCCAAGCTAATCATCAAAATTAAAGGTTTCTTTATCAATTTGAAACATGAATAATTTGATGAGCACCTAAAAAATAACGAACTCATCCAAAAGTTGATGTGTAAAGAAAAGCAAATCATCAATACACAGTGTAGTATCGTTTTTCTTATAATATTTGTAATAATCAAATCAATAGCAAAAGCGCTAGGAGCAGAACGTGTGCCATTAGAACATTTACTGAAAGAGAGCAATTACGTCGTCTTGGCCTGCCCACTGACGAACGAGACTCAAAACTTGATCAACGCTGACACACTCAAGCTAATGAAGAAGAATTCAGTTCTTGTGAACATCGGTAGAGGAGGTGAGGACATTATTAAACATTTTTATTTAGTTTCAATATCTATATTTTTTTATTATTTAAAATTATCATCCAATTTGAGTAACAAAAGCAATATGATCTTTGTTTTTATTCCATTTTTTATAATAATGACGTCCCAATGTGGTTTGCTTTAAGGGCTTTGAGCTCTTAACTTAGAAATTGAATAAAAAAAAAACTGTATTTCAAAGCCCGCATCTACTTGATATCATTCATTTCCTCGATAAACACAAGTGAGCTAATGTAGTATTTAGTTATACATACCTATGTATAATTGTTGATACATAAAAATATCTTTATATATAAACTAGCTAAAGTAAAGTGACTTTGAGCAGCATTTCTAACGAATTTATTCAATATATCGTGTAAAATACCTGAAATAAAATTCCGTCCCCTATTTTATCCCATTAGGGGTGGATTTTATCAAAATCCTTTTTTAAGGTATGCCCGAGTCATAGTAGCTTCATGCATGCAAAATCTCAGCCCGATCGTTTAAAAATTTACAAAGTTTCATACAAACTTTCATCCCCTATCTTATCCCTTTGGGGGTAGAATTGATCAAAATCCTTTCTTAACGGATGCCTACATCCTAACATCTACCTGCATGCCAAATTTGAGCCCGATCTGTCCAGTGGTTTGGGCTGTGCGTTGATATATCACTATGTCAGTATGATATAATCACTCCCATTGGGATGGGCTCGATATAATTTACGTTGCATATCTCATATTAGTGTGGATCTACCGCTATGAGCACGATGGCCATGCCCGGAACTTTAATAAACTTGGTGACGTCAGTTTCATGATTAGTTTACACATGTGTAGTTTAGACATGTGCGCCGCAAGTCATTTGACCGGCGGCAGCAACGTCATCGACATAATCGGCATGAGTGACAAAATAAGTAAAAACAGTCTTAAATACTGATTTCAGTCCTTTACGAAAAATGTCACCATACCTACATTCTAAAGATAACATCCTTATAGAGAAACCTGTGTCTACAATATTGACTGCAATTGTAATAGATTGTATATTAGCCAAACAGAGGAACACATCAAAGCAGTCAAGGATAATAACACACAAAAATAAGCCATCGCGAAACATTTGATTGATTCGGGACCTAATCATTGGATCGAGCTCCATGAGCTACAGATTATCTCGACTGAACGCCACTACATTAGATACTACATCATATTTAATGTTAGTGGCAATGCCCACAGAACACATTTCCGTGTTCTGTGGGCAATGCCGGATTAAGCCAGGGCGGGGCATGTTACAAATTTTTAAGGAGCCCTTGGTTTGCTTAAAAAAGAAAATTTTTACAAACACACTTTTCTTGATTAGTTAAATTTCATTGGAAAAGTAACCACCAATACAACTATTCAGACTCAATTTGACCTACAATATGAGTATCAACACCCTTTTTGTTTTTGAGGTTTAACGACAAAATAATGGTTAGTTATGTTATGATTTATGGCTTTTTCAAAAAATTGTGGTCATTCTTCCAATCACCTAATATATCTTTCATGATGACAATGACGAATAATCGGAATCATTTGCAAACGAAACAGAAAAGTCGTGCTTTGCATAATAACACAAAAACTAGATTAGAGTGAATTGAATTTTTCTTTTCAGTTTATGTTTATATGTATGTATGTACTTAAAAATGTGAGCTTAGGCAGAAGCGTGACTTATTTTTTTGTTTTGGAAAAATGTATTTATTGTATTTGATCAGTTTTGCATTAACAATGCTATAATCAAAAATATTCTTAATGAAAATTGCTTAAAAAATCCGCTTTGTCCTTGGCACACTGAGATGGGACTCCAACCTATAACCTTCCGAAATACGGACAAATTGTGCGGGCCTGTAGCATTTGCTACTTTTGCTACATGGCTTATCCGGCGCTGGTTGATCATTAGTCGTTCTTTTGTTCTTAGGTCTCATTGATCAAAATGCACTATACGATGCATTGAAAGGGAATCACATCTTCGCAGCGGGATTAGACGTAGTCACGCCGGAACCGCTTCCAAAAGACCATCCACTAATTTCCCTGCCAAACTGCTGTAAGTATATAATTCACATTAAATACCCGATTCATAGTGTTGCTTAATTTATAATCATTGAGACCAATAGCGAAATAGCATATATTGCGTAAAACAGAAACTATAAATCAACTAACTATAAAAAACTCATTAACGGAAAACAACATTACAAATCTTAACTATTCTATAGCTTGTGAAAGTCGAAAACTACGCCATCGGTTCGCAAAACTACGGCGGGAGACCTTGTACTGAGAAGAACCGGCAAGAAACTCAGCAAGGGCTGTTTTTTTCTCCCTGTTTTATTTCACACAGAGAAGTCTTATTGAAAAGTGACTTCATTAGAATATGAAGTCACTTTCCATTACAATATTAGAAAGTAAATACAATAAAGTTAAAATATCTAACACCATGCCTTTTTGTCATTTAGATATTCCTTAACGGTATAATACCCTTTACTTTGTAGACAATTTTTAATATGACTTTTAAAATGATTTATTGGCAAATCTAATACATCACTGGGGATCTTATTAAAGTATTGTATACCTTGACCCATGAAAGAACCTAATACCTTCTGTAACCTGTAAGAAGGCATTACTAGCTTGTTTTTATTTCTAGTATTAAGTTTGTGTACATCACTATGTTTGGTATACACATTAATATTGTTCCGGACAAAAAGTATACAACTATATATAAATTGAGATGCAACCGTCAATATTCCAATTTCTTTAAATTTCTCTCTAAGAGATATTCGCGAGCCCAACTGATAGATAGATCTTATTGCCCTTTTTTGTAAAACAAATATAGACTGAATATCGGCTGCCGTTCCCCACAATATAATGCCATAGGACATGATACTGTGAAAATAACTAAAGTACACTGTCCGGGCAGTTTCTATATCGGTAATTTGTCTTATTTTTCGTATGGCATATGCAGCCGAGCTGAGTTTACCAGCTAATATAGAAATATGCGGGTTCCATTGCAGTTTTGAATCTAGTGTTATGCCCAAAAATTTTGTTGAACTTACTAACTCTAAATGTTCGTTGTTGAGTTTAATTTCAGTTGGTTCTACTTTTACATTAGGTAAAGTGAATTTTATACATTTGGTTTTTTTAGCATTCAATTGAAGATTATTAACTGTGAACCAAGATAACACTCGTGAGAGAGCATTGTTTACATCGTCAAAATTATATTTGTTTCTGTCAATGTTAAATATCGATGAATTTAACGAAAAATGGTAAATCATTTATATATATTAAAAATAGAAATGGGCCTGAGATAGAACCTTGGGGAACGCCTATTTTTACATGAGACCCCGACGATTTCGCACCGTTTATATCTACTGTTTCTGTTCTGAAACTAAGATACGACAGCATTAGTTTTTGCGCAGCACCTTTAATACCGTAGTAATTCAGTTTAAACGACAGTGTCTGATGCTCAACACAATCGAAGGGTTTGGATAGATCGCAAAAAATCCAAGAGCGTTTTCCGATCCCTCCCATGCTTTAAATATATACTTTAGTAACGCAGCATCCGCATCCGTTGTCGAACGAACCTCGGTAAAACCGTATTGCTTAGTATTCAAAAGTTCGTTGGAATTAAAGTAGGATATTAGTTGTTCCAGAAGAAGTTTTTCAAAAATCTTGCTTAGTGTCGGTAGAATTGAAATGGGTCTATAATTACTAGGATCCTGTTTACTACCAGCTTTAAAAAGAGGAATGACTTTACTAAATTTCATGAGATCGGCGAAAATACCCTCATCAATACAGTGAGACAAAGAGCAATCATATTGATTATAATTTTAATGATATTTACTGATATACCACATAAGTCAAGTGTGTTTTTTTATTTTTATTGATATGAAGCCTTTAATTACATCTAATGAATCTACAATTGATCCTAAGTAATTTATAATGCTTTTAGGCTAGGTATCTATTGTTCGTAATATATTAATTAGGAGACTTAAAAAAGACAACTTCATTTACTTATATCTTTTTTAAATAAAACAGCGTCAAATTATTTAATAAATTAACTGCAAGATAACAATAGCTTCTTTGCAACATTTTTCATGTTTTAAAAATATTTATCTGTTATGTTGAAATTAAAATTATTTTAAAATGACGTGCTGTTTACTGTACATACGATAATGTTAATAAACATACGAGAACTAAGTATAAACATTGTATTAATTTTACAGTTATCCTACCTCATTTGGGCAGCGCAACAATAGAGACGAGAAACGCTATGGCTAGTATTGCTGCCAATAATATTCTTTTGGCTCTAGAGGGAAAATCTATGCTGTTTCCTGCTTACTAATTTATTAGTAGTAACTGTCATATGTATAATTTTATACTATGTACAACAGTGAAACGCTTATTCTTATTACATAAGTATGAAATGCTTTTTAAATGTATTACGCATTACTTTAATATCTTATTTATGATGTTCAATAAACTTATAATTAATGAAAATAAATACAAAATTGTTTAATTAGTATCAATACTAGAAAATAGGAATGAGAAGCGGCTAAGTATAACCCGTAACCGTAACTATCGGATATCCGAATATCCAAATTAAAAAGTATCCGTAACCGTTACAAAAGAATCGGGACCCATTCAAATTTCACCAATTAAATATTCCCAAGGGCCCCGACTATGAGTCGTTTTGTTCTGCATTACAATTTATGATTTGTATTATGTGTGTATCGATTATAAAACTATTTCAATTGTGTAGTTATTTAGTAATCTTAACAAAATTCGTAATTTTTGTGTTTCCTTTATACATTTATTTAAAACTTCAGTCATTTCTTTTACTGTAATTGATTTGTCAATTTCACGTGTGTTTTTAGGCTCTTTTAACTTTAAAAACTTTCTACAGTAAGCGAGCACTCGTAACATTTTGTTTAAGTTTGAAAATCGTGTCCATACAAAATCTTCATTTGCCTGTACTAGGGTTGTGAGTGCTCTAATAGGCTTTGCTTCGAGATCAGTATCTTCTTCAAAATTGGTCATATAAACATTTGTATGATGTAAAAATTTAGGTCCATGCCACCACATACTATGTTCACTCAATTCTTTTACAGATATGCCCCTAGATGCACAATCTGCAGGGTTTTGATCTGTGGTCACATGGTTCCATTGGTCAAATTCCATAATCGTTAAAATTTCAGAAACCCGATTACTGACAAATGTGGTCCAACGACTCGGCTCCCCTCTAAGCCATGCTAACACTACAGTTGAATCGGACCATGCAAACATTTTATTTTTAGGTACCTTCAATATTTGAGCGACTTCAAAAATGAGTTTAGCAGCCATCAATGCTGCACATAGTTCCATTCTTGGTATAGAAATCTCTTTATCGATTGGTGCAACCTTTGTTTTCGCTGTTACTATATTTACATGAATATTTCCATCCTTGTCAATTGATTTAATATAAACGACAGCAGCATAAGCGGACTGTGAAGCGTCAGCGAATACGTGAAGCTCAACTGAATCATTTTTCTTTGTTGACAACCATCTAGGAATGACAATACTTTTCATTTTGTTTAGTTCCTCTCTAAATTGAAACCATTCTTTTTGTAAATCTGGTGTCAAGTTATCGTCCCAGTTCAAACCAGACTTCCACAACTTTTGCATGTAGATTTTAGCTGTAATTAATACTGGCGTTACCCAACCCATTGGATCGTAAAGTCTTGCAATGTTGGATAAAACTTTACGTTTTGTCACAGATGTATCTAATTCTGGTAAGTTATAGGTGTACTCAAAATTGTCAGAAATTTTATTCCATGAAATACCTAAAACTTTAATGGTGTCATTAACTTTAAAATGGTAGTTAGTATTTAAGCTATGGTTCTCTCTTTCAATATAATCCAAAAGTAATTTGCTGTTGCTGCCCCATTTTTGTAACATAAAGCCTCCTTCTTTCATTAATTCGTTCATTTCTTTATAAATTTGTATAGCTTCATCTTCTGTCTCGCAACTGGATAACATATCATCTACATAGAAATCTTCAACAGTTATTTTTGCAGCCAACGGATATTTCGCCTCTTCATCCTTTGCCAACTGTTGGAGAGATTTTACTGCCAAATATGGCGCACACGACGTTCCGAAGGTGAGTCTCAATAGTCTGAAATGCTGTATGGGTTGATCGGGATCATTACGCCATACTATGCGTTGAAAATCGGTATCACTTTTATCAACGACCACCTGCCTATACATTTGTGTTATATCCGCTACGACACAATACTGTTTTGTTCGCCACCTCATCAAAATGTGGCGTAGATCTTGTTGTATTCTAGGACCCACTAGTAATGTATCATTTAATGACACACCATTAACACCTTTACAAGATGCGTCAAAAACTACTCTTACTTTTGTAGTTTGTCTATCTTCTCGGACTATAGCGTGGTGAGGAAGGTACACAGCGTAAGGGTTATCAATCTCTTTTTGGTCCTTAATTTGTTCCATATGATTTTGTTGCAGATAATCCGCAAGCACATTAGCATACTCTACACGTAAATTAGAGTTTTTCTTAAGTTTCTTTTCTAACAGATTTAATCTTTTAATTGCAATGGTTTTAGATCTTCCGTATATACACTTCGGACTCGATTCCTTGAACGGTAATCGAACTACATAACGCCCATCATTATCTCTTACAGTAGTTCTTTCAAATATCTCTTCACATCTAATCTCTTCTTTAGTTAGCTTTCTTCCAATTAAATCCGGTTCTCTTTCAATTTCCCAAAATTGTTTCAGTAAACTATCTATATTAACTTGTAAGTGAAGACTAACGACTCTCGGGTCGAATTCATCTTGTTGGCTCATTTTTCCGGACAAAATCCATCCTAACTGAGTGTTTTGTGCCACAGGCCCAACATCCGATGGGTGTTTCAATAGTCCACTCAATATTATTTGACTGTAGACTTCAACCCCTAAAATAATATCTATTTTACCAGGCGAGTCATAATGAGGATCAGCCAACGGTAAGTTATTAATATCAGGCCAGTTCAGAATGGAAGACTTACTCGATGGAAGAAATGAAGTCAACGAAGATAAAATAAAAGCGTTCACTGAAATGGAAAAGTCAGGATTATTTATGGATTCTATCTCAAAATGAACAATATTTTTAGTTTTTAGTTTACCGTCACCTACACCAGTTACTAAACCATTTACTGGTGTACGCTTAAGACATAAAGATTGAGCGATACTCTCAGTAACAAAAGAAGCTTCGGAACCCTGATCAATCAGAACCCGCGCTGTTTGAATGTAGCCATTTGTGGATTTAACCTTGACTAAAGCCGTGGCTAATAGCACCTTAACTTGATGCTCCTCTTTTGCAAAATGAGCTACTACCTTTTTCTCATAATCTAAACTTTGCGGACTACTAGTTACATTACCAGAAGATTGATCAGTACTTGTGGACGGCAACTGGGCCACGACAGCTTCTTGTGATGAAATTCTCTCTATATGTAGCAGTGTGTGATGACGCCTGCCACACCGACGACAGCACGTGGATTGATGGCAGTTTCTCACATTGTGGTTGGATGAAAAACAATTGAAACAAAGTCTCTTGGTATTAACAAACTCGGATCTCTCTTCGGGAGACTTGCTTGCAAATTGTTTACATTGGAATAATAAATGGGGATTCGAACACAACACGCATGCTTTATTTTGTTCTTTATTCTCTCTCTTATTCTCTTGTACAGTTGAATGAAATACTTTTTGTTTTGTGATTTGCTTAGTATTTACGTTATATTTCACAGGTTGTTTTGCGTCATAGATCATTTCTAGGGTTCTAAATCTCGTTTCCAGAAATTGAACTAATTGGTTCCACGTTGGAAATTCATCAGTTGTAGAGCGACCAATTTCCGTTTCCCATTGTTTCCGCGTCTCATAATCTAATTTAGATACAACCAAGTAATTGATTATGACATCCCACGTCGCTATATCAATACCTAAATTTTTCAGGGATTTTAAACAGGCGGATGTTGTATCAATCAATTGCTTTATGGCAGAGGCGGACTCGGATGAGATTGTTTTCTGTGAGAACAAACGCTTCATTACCTCGTTAGAATTATATCTTTTGTTACTATAGCGACGTTTCAGTTTGTCCCATGCTTCATCATAGTTCATTTCTGTAGTAGTCAAACTTTTCAATAACATTTCAGGTTCGCCCTTCAAACTACTTTTCAGGTAATGAAGCTTCTGCACTGCATTCAAATGTTGATTGGTGTGAATCAACGAAACAAACATATCATGAAAACATTCCCAATCTTCATAAGAACCGGAAAACGAAGGTAATTGTATCTGTGGTAACTTAACTTCTAAGTTAGTGGGGGCGACGTTAGAACTACTTACATCACATACTTTCATAGAAGCTGAATGACCAACATCACTTTTGGCTAAATCAATTTTCATCTTTGTTTTATAGTCGGTATATATATCCTCTAAACTTTCATAATAACCTTCCTTAAAATAGGGCAATGCGTCTCGATCTTGCTTTGGTGTTGCGACTATAACATCATAATGATTGTCAGTAAACCTCTTCCATAAGCCTTCTAAGTTCTCTAGTCTTGTTTGTATGTATAACGTAGTTAATCTATCTTTACTTGACTTTTTATAGTTAATATAAGCTCTATTTATTTGCGTCACAATTTCTTCTTGTAATAGTATTAATTTATCCATTTTGTAATTTATTATTTAATCTCTAAGCCCCCAAACTACTAAACAGTTTTTACTCTATTAAAACAAAACTGATTTTCACTAAGTCCTTTTCAACTGTACTTGACTCACGATTTTTATACATACATGTTTTTATTGTATTCGTTCCCGGGTTTCGGCACCATATGATTAAAACTTTAATCTTCTCACATAAATACCACAATAAAACCACAATTTTTCTGCTATTGGAATTTTTATAATAGTTTGACAGACGATAACAAAAAATGTTGCTTTAAAATAAAACCATAGATATTAACCTAAGAAAGGAGGTACAAAAGGAACACAGTTTCTATTAAGAGCCTTTACATAGGTATATATTAGGACGGTATATTTAATATAGTATTAATGTGTATTTAATTATTTATTTATATGTTTATTTTTATAGGTTTTTACCCAGTCGGGTTTTTATTCTTCTTTAATTATTTTTATAGCTGGGCTTCTAGAGTTATAGCTATGCTTATGGCGAGAAAGAGGCGGTCGCTCTCCTGATGTAATGTATTTTTTTTTATTATTCACTGCATTTAACCTACAGGTGAGGAATCAGAGTAAGAAAGACCAGTAAAACTTTTTGTATAGTGTACTTATAATACGTGTCACGTAAATTGAACCAAAATTGTGCTTTCCCGAGCTGGGGTGTGACCGCCTAACTCTCTAGCTGTGATTGTAGCCATTGTATACGTCATCTTATTGATATGTCCTTTTATTTTACTTCTTTGACGTGTACTTTAGTAATGATGAACGAACGTCATAGAATGATGATTATGGATATCTCACGACAGGCCCATATTAAGCACGACAGGCGCCCGGGTGCAAATTGTGCTCTGGCGCCCCCCAGCCCACTTTTTACACATATTTATATTAGACCATCATCGGCGTGGCGCCCCCCAACGCGCGACGCCCCCCATCGTGCGGGGCCCGGGTGCATTGCACCCCCTGCACCGTGGGTAAAGACAAGACTGTCTCACCACATCGACTAGAACCCGAAAATGAGCCGCTACGTATAATTGAAATTATGTGAACTTATGTTTGTGATAAGCAATCATATGACAGCTAACAGTACAAACTTGAACCTATTTTACTTTTACCAAAACTATACGAAACTATTGGATAATTCGAAATAAATTTATATATATTTGTCTAGTATTCGTATCCGAAATTTAATGTGTAATGGCACCCCTACTACAAAAGTATCAAATTCACGTGTTGATGCAGTTCACATGGCTGCACGTCAGTTTACCACAAATTGTACATCCTCGATGTAACCTGATGTGCTGTTAACTGTACTTCTCGGTCTGGTCCGGGAGGGGCGAGGCGGCCGGCGGGCGATATAAGACATTTTAATTCTATATTTACGCCCATGTGTAAAACAGTTGTGGCCCATACTTGACTAGTTTTACGTTAAATTCTCTCAATTGTTTTATTCATCGGCTGTTAAATTATCTATAACTGATTTTGAGATACTGGCAATACAAATATCATAGATATAAAACGCCCGCCATGTTTCGTATTTCCGTTTACCTTATCGCATTATTTGTTATCTGTATTTTTATACGAACCGGCGCAAACGCAACAATGAAAGATCTCAAAGTTTTAGTTTCTTCAAACGATTTTCCCGACGATGGATTACAAATTCTACGAAAACAGTAAGTAAAATAATAATTTTTGTACAGTTGAGTATTTTACCATATTAGTTTGGTCTGTATCAAATAAATAGATGAATCTTCTATGAATTATTTATTTATACTTTAGTATTACAAAAGGAATCGCTATGTCGTTATTAACCATGATCATCTTGTGGTAACCGGAAACGTCACCTGACAATGTTTTATTTTTTGGGGTGGTCAGCCCATAATCAATAATAACAATTGCCATATATAACTTAATGTAAATGGATATATGGTACATCCCCCCCTTTTATGTTTTACTGCACATAGTCTTTAAATCGAATAGGTCTCCTCACTATACGTCCTGATCTTGTTGTTAACCTATTATTATTATTTTGGGACTCTTCTGTATTATCAAACCCATTACTCTCACTCTCATGTAATAAATTGGATGTATTGTTATTTTGGTTACAACTAATATAAAATGGGTTTGGCTCAACAGAAAACTCATTTTTACTAGGATATAAAAATTTTGAATTTCGCACTAGTAATTGATTACGCTTGTTTTTAACAATATAAGATCTAGGGTTATTGAAATTAGTTTTTACAATTTGACCTTGTTCCCATAATTTGTTTTTATAATTTTGGATTCTAACATTATCTCCCACTTGAAATTCACTCCTATATTTACTTGATTTATCATATTTTTTCTTGTGCTTATTCTTTATTTCTATGCATTTTTCTATTACATTACTAGGTATGTTAGGTTTTAACATATCAGTTTTACATGGCAATCTGGTTCTTAAATTTCTATTCATTAACAATTCTGCTGGACTGTAATCTAAATTACTCACTGGAGTTGACCTATAGTTTAACATAGCTAAGTTAAAATCTGAATTTGTTTCTACACATTTTTTCATCATGTTTTTAACAATGTTAACTGCTTTTTCAGCCATACCATTGGATTGTGGATAGTGGGGACTTGAAAAAATTAATTGGATATCCATTTCTTTTGCAAAATGTCTGAAGACATAACTATTAAATGGCATATTATCACTAACAATGTATTTTGGAATGCCATGAGTAGCAAAGACATTTTTTAATTTATTAATTACTGAATTTGCTGTCTTATCTTTTAACTTTAGAACCTCTATCCATTTGGAATAATAATCAACTACAATCAAATAATCCCTGCCCTTCAAATAGCAAATATCCATACCTAGCTTAAAAAATGGTATACTGGGAATGTCATGACAAATTAGTGGTTCCTTACAATTACTCATTCTAAATTTCTCACATACCTTACATGACAAAACAAAGTTTTCTATATCTTGCGATATGCCTGGCCAATACAATGATTGTCTTATACGCTTTTTGCATTTAACTACACCTAAGTGTCCAGTATGTACAATCGCCATCATTTCTTTCCTTAAAGAGCTTGGCACTATTATCCTATTTTGAAAATATACAATGTCATCCTTTACACTAATACAAGCACTTAATTTAAGTAAGATTTTCAAATCTTTTACAATATTCTTATAATTTTTTGGCCAACCTGTTTTATACCATGTTATAATTTGTCTTAACATATCATCATTTTGTGTTTCCTTCTTTAACTGTGATAATCTTCTGTCAGATATTGATAATTCTTTTTCACAATTATACACTGTTTCCATTTCTATACTATGAACTAACTCTTGTAAACTATAATCTATCTCAGCATTAGTCTGAATATAATGTCTGGACAAGTAATCAGCTATATACATTTTTGTGCCCGGAACATATTTTATAACAAAATCATACTTTAATAACTTTAATACCATTCTTTGCAATCTAGAACTGATTTTGTTAATATCTTTACTGACAATTGATACCAGTGGTTTATGGTCAGTTTCTATTATTATTTTTCTACCATACACAAATTGATGATATTTTTCTAAAGCTGCACACATTGCGAACAACTCCTTTTCAATTGGAGCCCACCTCTTTTGACAGTCAGTATAACTTCTAGAATAAAAAGATACCGGCTTCCCATTCTGAAGCAAACAAGCACCTAAAGCATCTTTTGAGCTATCTGTTTGTAAAACCACTGCTCCTTCTTTTGTCAAGATTCCTAATGTAGGAGCACACGTTAATCTTTTTTTTAATTCACTAAAAGCCTTTTCTTGTTCATAGCCCCAAATCCATTCATTATCTTTTTTTAGCAGAAAACGGAGTGGTTCTGTTATTTTAGAGTATTCCGGTATAAATTTACTTACATAATTGGTCATTCCTAAAAATTTTTGTAGTTCCTTCATATTTTTGGGTTCACTCAATTGTGTGATGGACTTAATGTGTTCAGGGTCTACATTTATGCCAGCTTTAGATACTATTAATCCTACATATTTTACCTGATTTAATTTGTATTGTATTTTATTTTTATTGAATTTAACGTTATACTTTCTAGCTCTCTCTATAACTTCTTGCACAATTTTATCATGATTTTCTTCATTATTACTCGCTATAATCACATCATCATAATATATATGAACACCTTCTATATTATCAAATATTTGTGTATTGATTTTTTGCATAATTTCAGGAGCAGACGAAATACCAAATGGAAGCCTTAAAAAACGATACCTGCCATATGGCGTTCCAAAACTGCAACACTTGTCAGGATCGTCCAAATTTATCTGAAAAAATCCATCTTTTAAATCTAACACTGTAAAAAATTCATTACCTGACAAACTGTTATATATTTCCTCTGCGGAGGGTATCAAATATCTCTCTCGTTTAATACATTTATTTAATTCCTTAGGATCTAAACAAAGTCTCAAGGAACCGTCCGGTTTTTCTACAATTACTAAATTGTTCAACCATTCTGTTGTACCTTCAACTTTTTCAATAACCCCTAATCTTTCATACCTATTTAAAGTGCTTTTTAATTTATTTTTAATTTTTTCTGGTATCCTTCTAATTGGTTTTATAACAGGCTGTGCATCATCAGACAATTTTAGCTTATAAGTACCTATCTTTCCTAACCCTGTGAAAACATCTTTATTTTTGTTAATAAATAACTGCTTTTCATTGTTATTTATTATCTGACCCCCAATTGAATCAATTTTTCTTACCAGATTTAATCTCACACAATCTTTTAGTCCTAAAATTGGCTGTACTGACATGTCTACAATAGTAAACTTAATTTTAATTTCTTTATTTCTCACATAACAAATTAACATTGCTTCCCCCATTGGTTTAATTTTTTGTCCATTGTACACTACTAAAAGCTTATTACTATAGGTTAACTTTATATTTTCACTTATTCTTTTAAATAAATCAAACGGTAAAATGTTACATTCTGCTCCTGTATCAAGTTTAAAAACAATTATCTGTCCCATAACATATATTTTTTCTGACCATTGCTTTTCACTTTCAGAAGAAACAGAGTTTACTACATACATATTTTTACAATACCTTATCATAATTTCATTATCGCTGCCACTGTCCTCTTCTTCAATACCCATAACTTTTCTTTTCATTTGGTTGTTCACATCTTTCTTTGTTTTACATTGTGATGCAAAGTGGTTGTATTTTAGACATGCTAAACATTTTTTCCCAAACGCTGGACATTCTCTTATAGAATGTTCTTTACCACAACGATTGCATTTAAATTTTTTTTCTTTCTTCACAGAAAATATGTTTTCACTTCTTTCTTCCAACTTCTTCATCTGTTCTTTTCCTTTTTCGACTTGTCTAGCTATGTTTATAGCTTTTTCCAAGTTTAAATCACTTTCTCGCAGTAAGCATTCTTTTATTTCTTTATCTTTCAGACCTAATATTATGATCATTGTTATAAGTCTGTCTTCTAATGATTGAAATTCACACTTGCGAGCACATGTTTTTAACCTCGTCACAAAGTGATCAATGCTCTCTCCCTCACATTGACTCATGTTTAAAAATTCATACGTGATATGACTAACGTTTTTCTTGGTTCTATAAATTCTTTGTATGCCTTTAAAAGATTTTCTAATGTTACTGGCTTTGGATTAAACGTATTATACACCTCCACTGAATCCTCTCCGGCTGCATTTAGGAAAATAGCTATTTTTCTGTTCTCTTCGCATTTCTCCAGCCCAGCTGCGTCAATATATATGTTAAACAATTGTTTGTATCGATCAAAATTTTGATTAGGCCCTGACAAAATAAGGCCTTTCGGCGGTTTCAAGCCGTCCATCTTTTTTCCGCTGCTTTTACTTTAAAATCTATCGATTTATTTTATCACTCACTTGAAATGTTGATCCTTTTCACCTGACACCATGTATCAAATAAATAGATGAATCTTCTATGAATTATTTATTTATACTTTAGTATTACAAAAGGAATCGCTATGTCGTTATTAACCATGATCATCTTGTGGTAACCGGAAACGTCACCTGACAATGTTTTATTTTTTGGGGTGGTCAGCCCATAATCAATAATAACAATTGCCATATATAACTTAATGAAAAATAAGTTAATTTTACCAATACTCGACCGTGTATAAAAGTGACTGTATCTTAATGGCCGTCTAATGGACTTTTGATTCCAGTAGTTGGCCATTAATTTTGCTGCATAAAATTAATCTTATTACAATTTCTTGAGGATTACATCTAATACGTTTATTTTAGCATACAAATCTTAGATTATAAATTCTCATCATGTCCAGATGAAGTCTGAAAAGCAGAAAGAAGAAGTAAAGGAACAGAAAAAGAGAAAAAAATCAGCATTGAAAAAAAGCTTTTGAAATCTAAAATTAATTATAAGACTTATAAGAGAATTTAAAGAATATTAGTTGCGGTTATTCGAAATGTACCGAATTTGTTGGTTTATTTCATGTCTATGAAAATATATACATAAAAAATTTTGTATGTACAATATGAAAGAGTACCTAATTTGGTAATAAGCCGACAACGGGATACGAGACGGTCGACTTGAAAGTGATATATTTCGTTTAATTTTGATTATTTATAATATTCCAATCTAATTATTACATTTTGTTGATCTCTATTAAATATAATAAACAACCTTTCTGATAAAAAATAGCTGTTTTTATTAATATCCCTTATTTTTTAAAATATGGTTGAACCAAATTAAGATTCCCATTAAAAGGCCGAGTACTGGGTATTTTACCCTATAGCACTGTTTCTCTTTTAATTCCCGTAATACCTACAGTCCCGGTACGACGAACTAACATTACTGATAGTCTTAATCAGTCGTTATTTATTAGTTTCACAGTTCTTCAAAGCAGATATTCTCATTTCGGTGAAGAAGGAGCAAATAAAAATAAAGAAGAACTTCTCAACCTAGTCCCAGGATGCTCCGCGTTGGTGTGGGTCTCCCATCATCCCATTACTAAAGAACTCTTAGATAAAGCGGGTAAATTCAATTTTATAAGAAATACTTGAAATACCAAGAAATAATAATGTATGTACGAAAAAATCGTCAATAATTTATAGGGCCCGAATTAAAAATGGTGGCTACAGCTTCCGCGGGGTACAACCATTGCAATGTCGAGGAGTTAAAAGCGAGAAACATTAAGCTATCGAACACTCCAAACGTCTTGAGTTCAGCTGTTGCAGAGGTTGCAGTCACTCTAATGTTGGCTGCCGCAAGGAGAATGACCGAAAATCTTGAACAAGTGCGCAGGTAATTTACATATTAATTTATTAGGACTACACACGAATTCCCTAACCAAACCAAACTTAGCCATGCAACTAGATAAAGCTAAAAGAACCTAATAAAAATGTCTCCTTCCAGCTAACGTATAATTAGTCCGAGACACGATTAACCAAAAACCAAGGTCTAAAAAAATTTAAAACTAGATTTTGTCACCCCTCTTTTGGCGCTCAACATACCTAAAGTGAAAATAACATGTTACACTAGAGTGCTTATAGCTAGGTAAATGTCACTACAGGTTAATTAATAATTACCTGTTTGATTTTTTTTCAAGAGGCGAGTGGGAAATAGGCTTTGGCAAGGTACTGGGTCAAGAGATACGAGGCAGTACGGTTGGTATTATCGGCCTAGGTGGAATCGGGCAAGCAGTAGTCAAACGACTTGCTGGATTTGAAGTTGCTAAATTTGTCTACACTGGTCATAAGGAAAAACCTGAAGGTAAGATTGAATACGTGGTGAAAACGTATGCTATAAGCTAGTGTTCATATAAGCTTAAAGTCTTCAAAGTCGTTGGGTATGTGACGATCGAATCGCTGCAAATCTGAAGTCGCGTCCAGTCGCCAGTAACATCGTAATGAATCGCGACTAATAGACTAATATATTTGATCAATTTCATTTTCACTTAATATTTGGAAGAAACTACTTATAATTAATGTCTAAAATAATATAGATATTCAATTAACATTTTCAATATTTTTGTTTATAGCTCCCAGTCATCTTTGTAATATTATTGACATAGATGCTCTCCAAGTAAAGGGTTGGAGTGCAAAACAGTTACTTGATAATCCATTTGGCAATATCATCTGAGAAAACTTAACTATGTGTAGCTTATCAAATAAGTCATTGCGTTCGAAAGTAAGGGGGCTGAAAATCTAGTGCGTCTTTAAAGTCCTGATTCTCTCCTTTACCAGTTCTTACTCATAGCGGTCGTAAACTCCCAGTTACGACCGCTTTGAGAAAGGTGATCGCAGTTATTTGTTTAGTCCCCGGTTATCTTACTACAAATACCTAAGCAAACTTAATCTCTAGAGTCAAAAAGCGCCAAAGCTGTATAATCAAAATCCGGCTACATAAAATGTTTGACTACAGGAAAGGCATTAGGTGCTAATTTCGTAAGTCTCGACGAACTTCTGGCTCAGAGCGACTTCATAGTACTAGCTGTACCACTGACTAGTGAAACGAAGCACATGATCAACAGCAACACACTGGGGAAGATGAAGAGTAATGCCATTCTAGTGAACGTTGGCAGAGGCGGTAAGCTATCAAACTGTGTCTTACTTTTAAAAAATCAGTATAGGTAATATGCTAGTCAAATTGGTTTTATCGATAAAGAAGAAATTAAATTCATAAGTATCTATCGTTTACAAATAAGTTCATCTGTATCTTTAAACTGCTTTAAGGCTCTTGCCTTGTAGCCCGTTTGCAATTATCCGCCACGCCACAAATATAACATTTAATAAATGTCAGAAAGTTTAGACTATATACTTTGGGTGATTGACTGAAATATCATAGTTTTGATTTTTCATAAGATTTAATGATTTTAATCTCAGAAACCTAAACATTCAAGTTTCGTCCGCTTAATTACTGTGAGAAGTTAGAGCGATATACCCATTCGACGCAGTAATTCCTCATTTCACACTTAAGCTATGGTTTATTTGTAGAAGTACATATTAATATTAGGTCTTAAATATCATCCACAGACCTGGTAGACCAAGAAGCACTCTATAACGCACTTAAGGACAAGAAAATATATGCAGCAGGACTCGACGTTACCACCCCAGAGCCACTTCCCAAAAACGACAAACTATTGAGTTTGCCCAATATTTGTAAGTAACGAACTAGGCAAATGCCTGGGCGCCCCCAGTTTTGTTTTTATGACAAAATATTTGTAGCGTTCTATCAAATAACAAAAATACTTCAACAACATAATTATATCACCAAAAAAAAAACAATAGTTTGCGATTGTGCTTACCTATGATTTTGTAACGTTACATCAATTTTTTATATACCACTAATAACATAATAAATTAATAAATGTTATAATTTCAACAGCCCTACAGAAACCTCCGCTCAACTTTCATTATTCATAAACATAATTTTACTGTATAGTCAGATAAGTTTTCACCTTTTTGGAATACGTTATATTGTTTTTTTACGTCAATTTATAGTCATCCTACCGCACATCGGCAGCGCCACAGTCACGACACGCAACGAGATGGCGACTCTAGCGGCGAACAACGTTGTCAACGCACTCTCCGGCAAACCCCTCATTACACCTATATTGGATTAGCCGATATAATCCAATTGATAAACTTGCAAATAAAAAAAATTAAAACAATAAAATTTGCTTTTATTACAGCCTTTAGTTTTAAAGCATGAGTTATATACATTATTTTTTAAATCTATCGAGACAATTAACATTTACTATATTACGTGTTATTATATAAAAGTACAAAAAAGTGGTTTATTACAATTTTATATCAACACTTTTAAAAATTTAGCATTTAAAATATAAAAACCAAAATGTGACAATAATAACATAGTTATTGCCTTTGAATAAGGCCGAAAGGGATGACGACTAATTTTTGATTTTTTCTTTTTGCGTAAATATCAATAAATTACGGCTATACATTGAGTTGAAATGTCGCATGACGTCACATTTTTGTACATTTCTACAAAACTGTGACATAGAGCCCCCACCCCTTAACTTTAATGCCTATTATCTAAGTAATATCTTGTTAAATTGAAGCAAGAAAACTCATATCTAATATTTTTCTATTATCTGACTGATGGACTAAATAGAATTTCTTTTTTAACCCAGTCATCATCCCTTTTTAACTGATTATTCCATTATACCAAATAAGGGTCGGTGTATATCTGACAGAATGTATCACATCTCACAGTCAGTTAGGACATCAGGACTGTTATTATATATGATATGATATTCGACCTTGCACACTCATTATGAATTATATAACAAATGATAGTGCATATACAAATAGACATTTTGCTCATAACATTCATACACAATTTGTAACCACCATACATGTATTGCTTAGAAACTAATAAAGTGCTTGAATTGAGTTTTGGTGTCTGTCTATTGATTGAGTTTAGAGTATTAAATATTTTTAACTACTATTTATAACTCTGAGAAAGACATATGTTTTAGTTTCCCATGTAGCATATTTTAATTTCATCATCAAAAAAAATAATAACAGAACTAAATTTATAAAACAAATTTTACATATTCCCAAACTGATGTCATTCATGGTGTTTCTGCTACTATTGCAGCTAAATCCTTTAGGAATGGTTCAATTTGACTTTCCAATGACAAAATATGACCAGTGTTGCAGCCATCACTACCAATGAATGTAATTACCAAAGGAAGCTTGTTCATTTGAATAACCTGGAATACGAAGCAATGTTACAATTTAAATATAATAAATAATAATATATCTACACTTAAGACCATCAACCAGACAACCAAGACCATCTATCTACAAAAAGTTGATTTTACAGGAGACAAAAAAAAACATATTTTTTCTACATGTTTTTATATTTTTATATCTGATCATTTAATGGATAGGCATGGGAAATAAGGTGTTTACATGTATTTCAAGAAATCTTCATTAGTTTCAAAATTACTGTAGATAGCTGGTATAAGTTAAAATATTTGTGTATGTTTATGCAGCTAACTGTAATATAGATGGTATTGGCAAACAAAATAATATAGATTAAAGATTTTAATCAAATAAAAAACTTAGTTTTATTAAATTTTAAAACAAATAATTTCGTGATCTCGGTCGATATATGGTATTTCCATACAATTATTACATGTAACTTAGGTAGTATAGGTATTTTCTCAAACTTGTTATTTATTGCGAATTTGAAGTAATCAATTAAAGGAAATGATGCATAAATTAACCACGAAAAGAACTGCATTCAAAACTAAAAATCGCCAAAAGTGTAGATAGACGGTCTTGGTTCTTAAGCGTCGATATCATTATTTATAAATTAATTAAACTATAAAAATAATGCAAAATTGCCTTAAACCTATTTTTAACATAATGGACAGATTATTAAAGTACACAATTAGTCAAATAATGTTACACAAAAACAGATAATTTACCTGATAACTAGAATACATAGATATGATGGTCTTATTTCTCCCTAAACCCAATTTACTAGCTTGATCGGTTGCCATGCCGAATGTAGAAATGAAATTAGGCCGCAACGCTAACTGTGGTGCCCTTTCTGTTACAGCACGCACCAGCGGCACACCATCGCGATCAGTTATCAATATACAATGAAGACCATTCACCCTAAAATCAAAGAAATACAAATAAAACAACATTATATCTCAATTTATGTACATGATGATTAAAATTGTTTATATACACATACTTTTCTAATAAATGATTTAAGTACTTTCTCAATTCGTCGACCATTTTTTAAGTTTTATAAATACTGAAACTGAATTTATATCACCAAATACAAAAAATTCTTCAGATTTAATAGCGAAATTTGATTTAATCTCGACATGACAATAGTCTTGGTTCGCGAACGAACTGGTTCAAAGAACTGACTCCCACAGATGAACTACGCGAACTAGTTCCCACATTTCCTGTTCCGAAGTTCGTTAATTCGTGGCAGAATGAGAAAAGGTGAAGTCGACCGAACTAATGTCATCTCGTTAAAAATATAAAGGTGAAAATTATAAACTATATTATTTACTGTCTAAACAAAAACCTAATTATTTACATCAAAAAAAATATTATACTCTTAAGAATATTAGATCATATGTTTATTTATGTGTTCAAAAACATGATGCAAATTGAATATTTCAATAATCTTGTCACAACAGGAAGGAGTAGTATCAAAACAAGCGAACGAACTGCCTTGAAATAATGAGGAACTATTTAAAAAAAAATAGTTTTCAAAATCAAACTAGATATTGCTACGGTACCTACGTTCTTGATTTCTCCATGACAAACCTTGCGGTTACCTTTCATGTTTAAAAGTAAATTAGTTTTCAAAACTCCATAAACAACTCATATTCTATTTGTACTTTTTCGTATTTGTATTAATATCTAAGTTTCAAACTTTTCAAATTTCAGTTTTTTAATATATTAGTTAAAAGGACCGGAAATAGCTGTCTTTGGTCCATTCATTTCCTGCAAAAATGAACTTTTCCTAGAGTCGGCATCTAGTGGAAGTGCTTTTTTAGTATTTTCGTTTATTTTAAATACTTCGTCATTCAATATAAGGCAAATCGTTCGCTTGTTTTTAAACTGCTCCTGTTGCAAAGAGGTAGAAATCTAAACAAACTAACGAACTACAAGTGGTTCGTTTAGGAGGCGCGAAATAACTCCTTCGATCTCATTTGCGAACTATTACGTCCAAGACTATTAGACAGTTGGATGACACTGTCAAAAAGCCCATCCCAGATATGTGTACAAAGGTGATGCTCAAATACAAACAGCCAACAACGGCGCGTGGCGTTCCGACATGTGGCAAGAGACAGACAAAAGACAGCCATTGTGGCAAAGACAGCCATTTCCATTCCTTTTACCTAACATATTAAAAAACTAAAATTTGAAAAGCTCGAATCAATACAAATACGAAAAAGTACGAATAGAATATGAGTTGTTTACTGAGTTTTGAAAACTAATTTACTTTTAAACATGAAAGAAAACCGGAATGGTTGTCATGGAGAAATCAAGAACGTACCGTAGCTACATCTAGTTTGATTTCGGGAACTAATTTTTTTTTTTAAATACTTCCTCATTAGCGGACCTCAATGGCGGACTACCCTCGTCGGAAGTCCGGAGCAGCAACAGACTCGGACCTACAACTTTTTCCAACCAGAGCAGAAATTTGATGTTGTGTTTACACCCCCACCTCCCTCCACTAAGACGCTTGCTAAAAGTACGAAACTGAATAAGAAAGATAAGGTAGTGCAACCCCAATCTATGTTATTGGGTTATTGATATAGTGTTACTGGGCAGCTTACCGTTTGAACCAATAAGTTTAGAACAAAATGTAACAAAGATATTCTAATAAGGAAGTATTAAAAAAATTAAAGTATCTACAAAAACTTACGTCACTAGATGGCAGCCCAAATTGTAGGATCTAAATGTCAATGAGCAAATATTAAAAATAAGAAAGCACTAAATCAAATTACATGTGATTTCGGAAACTAATGTTATGAGGAACTATTTAAAAAAAAATCAATAGATGGCAGCACAAATTGTATTATCTAAATGTCAATTCGTGACGTTAAACCAAAGAGAATAGCATCGTCTGTGTTTCTACAACAAGTTTTTTTATTTTTATATCTGATCATTTAATGGATAGGCATGGGAAATAAAGTGTTTACATGTATTTCAAGAAATCTATATTAGTTTCAAAATTACTGTAGATAGCTGGTATTAGTTAAAATATTTGCGTATGTTTGTGTGGCTAACTGTAATATAGTTGGTATTGGCACCTTATGAATCGACAAGAATTTGGTTTTACAGGGGGTCGCTCAGTAATCGAAGCCGGTGTCGAGTTAATACAAGAAATTTTGAATGCCTGGGAGGACTCGCGTTATGCGTTAGGTGTTTTCTGTGACCTATCTAATGCATTTGATTGTGTTTTCATCAAATATTGATTAGGAAACTTCATTACTATGGATTTAGAACATTAGATTCTAAACTACAGTGGGGCCCACATATTGATAAATTGTCGAATAGACTTAGCTCTGTAGCATACGCTGTAATTAAGATACGTAGGTTAACTGACATAAATACTGCCAGATTAGTATACTTGTGTTACTTTCATAGTGTAATGTCGTACGGAATCCTATTGTGGGGAAATGCTGCCGACATAAAAAGATTTTTTTGTGCTTCAGAAAAGAGCAATTAGATCAATTTATAATCTTAGGATTAGGGACTCTTTAAGGTAGATATTGAGGGAAATAATGACTGTTGCTTCTCAATACTTATACTAGAACTTCATGTGCATTCGTGAAAATATTAATGTATTCGTAAACTTAGATATCAATACAAATGGGTAATTCCTGAGAGGCTCAATTTTGGGTGTCAGGAAAGATATCTCGTATATTTAACTACGTTCATTTTTCTCGTATTTTTTCAAATAAAGTTTGAACTATAATCTTGTTGTAAAACTATTTATCATAAAGAAAAAGACTTAATTAAATAGTTTCTTTATTTTTCAAATGACTGAAAATTGACTTTCCTGGGTTGTCCATTTCACGTTTTTTCTGGAACGAATGCTTACAGATTTTTTCGTGAATATGGAAACATTAACGAGTAAAATAAATTCGTTTGGTAATGAATTGACGAATCGAATAATAGTAATTTAAATCTTGTAATATATTTAAATTCATCTATTCTTCAAATTTATAAGTTGTCCGAGACCAAACGTTGACTTTCCTGGTACATCAGTAAAATGCGCGTACATTACTATCTGTCGATTTCTGTTACTTGCTGTACCTTCCCACGCGGAGTGTTAGCCGCATATCAAGTGTTATGAGGAGAGGTTGTGCAGCTCGTCGTCAAGTTCGCGAAATATTTAGGTAAGAAGTTGATTCTCCTGTTATTGGTTTTGGTTTACTATTGATTTTCCTGGTTTTGTTTCTATAGATCCTGTTTGTTGTTATAATCTCAGTTTACTTTAAAAACATGCTTTCTCTATTGACATACTGTTGTGTAAAATAGGTTTAGCTATCCACTATCTTTGAACAGCTATTGACGATTATGTCCATTTTTATGATTTTTCTGTAGTTCATTTTCCTGGATATTTAACCAGAAAAATCAAAGTTTCCTAGGAAATTCTAGTTTTAAAGCGGTCTAAAGCCTATATTAGTCATATATTTGATTTTTAAAGTATAAACAACGCCAAATCCTAACTAAAATATATATTTGTGATTAAAATATTGAATTTGGTGTTTTACTTTTGATTTTAAAATACTGAATATGAGTATTGTTTGTTCTATTTTCATTACATTTACATATTCCACGTTAAATTTCCCAAGATAAGTACTAAGTCAAATAAAAAACCACCTCGGCTCTGTCATGGACGGCAACAGGAAATAATCAGCTCAAAATACATATATTTATTACTTGAATTCACATTTTGTATATCACAATACACCGTAGCAAGCAAAATAAAGAGGAGATTTTGAAAAAAAAAAGAGAGAAGCTGAACGTCGTCGATACGAACTAATAAAAAATGATGCTCAGTGTAAGGCTTAGCTAAACGAAAAATCTGAAACAGAAAAGATCCGGAAAAATAATACCAATAACAAAGAAAAATTAAGAAAGCAGAATCGTTTAAGTTCGAATACAATAATTTAAAGAAAAAGATGAGACAGCTGTAAGAAAACCATGATTTGAATAGAGTACGCTTAGAAGGAGAAGACCACCACGTAGAGTGTAAAAATCCAATAAGTGACGATAATCCTTTAAGACTTTCTACTTCTGTAAGTGGTGCCAACTTTCCAGCTGCAAGTTTATCAATTTCTCCCGCTGTCACCAGAAAGAAGTCTCTTAGAAACAATATCATTACTCGATTAACAAAACGATCAAAACGATCATTAACAAAATTGTTATCGCAAGCAGAAACAAGCTGTACGGAAACTACTCGTACGTACAACACAGATAAACAAGGCATTGTTTGTTCGTCTCCACCACCTTCACCTACCAATAATCAGTTTCTTCTATTTCTCAAACAACACCTGATTCATTTAATCTATCCACTCCTCGAAGGTCACTCCATTCGGCTAATCACTACCCTTACTACAAAGCAGTCCATAAAAAAGAAATTTCAAAATGACCAGGAAAATCAACTCAAAAACGCCATTCTCAGGAATCACCCAAACACGAAAAAGTACCAATAGAATATGAGTTGTTTATCGAGTTTTGAAAACTAATTTACTTTTAAATATGAAAGAAACCCGGAAGAATTGTCATGGAGATTTGTGGAGATTCCACAAACTCACATCAAGCGATTCGCCTCTACATTCATCGTGCGAACTGCGAAGCTGTGGAATTCACTACCGGACTCGTTGTTTCCGGACAAATACAATCTGGGACTCTTCAAGACAAGAGTGAATCGGTTCCTTCTATGCAAGTACGCTCCATCTTAGACCACTGCATTGCTTACCATCAGGTGATCTGTGGTCAAGTGCTTGCCTATTAAGAATTAAATAGAAAAATATAGAGAAATCAAGAACGCACTGTAGCGACATCTAGTTTGATTTCGGGAACTAATGTTTTTTTTTAAATACTTCCTCATTATCCGAAAATCTCTAGTCTGATTTAAAGGACAAATTTTTATTTGTTAAATACTTTCTTAATGACATTCAGATCCTACAGTTTGTGCTGCCATCTAGTGACATATTTTTTTTTAGTTTCTTTATTTTTGAAATACTTCCCAATTTTAAGTAAGAATCAAAGAAAATGAAAAACCTTAGTACGTTCTAGTTTTAGTACGTATTTTTGCGTTTTAAGACTCGTGTGCCATCCATAGAGAAATATAATATTACCAAAGTGCCATCACAGCCTAAAATTGACGGCCAATAAAATGATTTTTTTGTCTATAGGCAAAATGGCAGACTTGGTTTGACAACTGTTCTGCGATTATCGTAATTTATTTTTGGATTCATTATTTGTTGCCTTTGTACTTTTTAGGTATTTACTAAATTATTTCATATGGTGCTTAAATAAAATCGTATATAAATTTATAAAATATATGTGATATCGCTTACTTTAAATTCAGTTTGCATTACTTTCAAAATGAATTAATACATTTAGTATGATAACAAAAGATATAAAAAAGTCTTGACTCTTTAATTTTTGTCGTTTACACTGTGCATTTTTCTAATAATAGGAAACGTGAGCGCTAATTTGTGCAGTATTTGGTATATGTATACGTAATTTATAGTGTAGAATTGTGAATTTTAGGTTTGTGACGTCACGAAGACAGGATTTTATTTACAAAGTTGGATAGTAATATGCTTGTTTGGCATTGCCAATGAAGTAACAAGACCTGTTTCTGCAGTGGTGAAGGTAGATTGGTGGCAGAGCGGTTCGTTCCCGCTAGGATGGGCGGCGATGTCTGCCCCCTCCAAGAGCGCTACGAGCCCCTCGCCGTGTGCATGCACTAATATATCGCTTATGCAATTGTTTCATGAACTGAAACAAAAGTTTCCTGGAGTTCCTGATCATGTTGTGTCAAACACTATCGAACTTTACTGCCATGATAAGCAAGCCTGTGAGACTCATCTACACAGCGAAGTCAAAGCCTCCCTAACACACGCATATCATGCATCTTCATCTGCTGCAGCACGTCAGCTCAATGAGCTAAAACTCAATCCTCCATCAAAGTGCCGTAACCAGCCTATAATCAAGCATGAAAATGTCAAATCTACCCCAATCAAGTCAGTCATTTGTCAAGAGCCACAAACTGCTATCATTAGTACAAACATTGATGGAGATGACGCAAAAATAAATACTGATGCTAATCAGAATATTGTTGAAACCAATTCTGAAGAAGACTTAAAACGTAACAACAATACATCTCCGGTGACTATTATAAACATTGATAGTTGTTTTGCAAAGTATAGTGTTGAGTCACCAAGTGATCTAGAATTGACAAATGAGAATTCAAAGGATGTGAAGGTAGTTGCAGACAGCCCACCTTGTGAAAAAGGTAACCAAGAACAACCAGAGAGCACAAACTATAAACTATTTAGAAGCAACAAGATAAGGAGTAATCTTAATGAAAGGGTTGAGAAAGTGAAAGAGAAAAAGACCATTAAAAAAGAAGAACTGCCTAAACCACAAGAATCAGTGCAGACTCAACAAGTTGCACAGTCTGAACAGAAGCTTGATCCTAAACCAGAACAACAAGAGAAAATAAAGCGACCAAATACACTTAATTTCATTAAACCAAACCCAGACATTGCATTTAAACAGACAGTAAAAGATACAGAAGCTGATGTTAATCAAACAGTTTCACCTGCACCAACATTGAAACAAGAAAATCAATCAAATAACAATTGTAAACCTGGCACACTGTACAGGTCTGAAAGAGTTTATCCTTTGAATTTATCAGTTAATGTTAATTGTCATATGGACTTAAGTCGTTCTTATAATGATCCATGGTTAGAAGACTATGAGAGCCCGAGAGCTATAACATCAGTTAATTTAACAGTGTGTACACCTACTTCAAATATGGCTAGCCCTGTTCGAGAATCGAGGGAAAATGAGGAGGGCTTTGAAGGTCATGTCACAGTAACAGTAAGCCCCAGTACGACACGACCGATACACCGCCGCGCCCCACCCCCTCCCCCACACATATCAAGAACTGATACCCCAAGGCCTGCCAGAACTGCACCAGAACCACCAGGATCTGTACAAGGTAAAGTTACCATTTATTTTTATTCTTGTGATGCAATATTAGAAAGATGTGTACACCAAAAATCACATACTTTGAAATAGGTAGGTATAATCCAAATAAGATGTGATTAATAAATGAGAAAATATCATGTATGATATTGTTTTCTCATTTTTATATGAATCATGTTGAAGCTGGCTTTAATGCATCAGTTTAAATAATGATTTATTAGTAATTATAATATGTATGTTGTAATATAATATATACTCTTGACTGTCCTAATTAAATAAGTATGATATATTACAATATCTATATAAATAAAATGTGTTGCTAAATGCAAAACTTAAGATTAGCTAAACTGATTTGACTAATTTGTTATGTTCGACAAAGTCTGATGAGCGTTTTTATGGAGAGAAAAAATGTAAAAAATATGAGGACAACAGTTACACCAATAATTTTCTTTTTCCCCAAAAACCACTTTTCCCAGCTGTTAAATATTTGAGATCAATCAAAAACATACCATGATATATTTTTGGTATGCCTCTAAGTTGATTTGGTGGCCTACCACAGGCCATTAACTTTTGACAAAAGGAAATCTTTTCTGAGTTACTTTGGTTTTCAGAAACGGCCATGAACAAGGGGTGCTGGGAGATTAGTAATTAAACAATGTGGCCAGACCATGACACTTTAGTAATTTGCATTTTATGTTAACATCCTCAAATTTGATGATCTTGTGTAGATCAGATGCACGCATCTTATATCTCATTTTGTATCCAAGGATGCTCCTTTCCATACTTTTCTGGGTAGTTCTTAGTTTGTTTTGGAGTTTTTATGTTAGGGCCCATGTTTGACAGCCATATGTCAGTATAGGTAATAGACAGGTGTTGAAGAGCTTTCTCTTGATACTGATTTTGTACTTTTTGTTTTTGAAAATATCTTTAAGAGCCCAGCCCATTAAGCAAGTAATATGATGAATTAATTAATGTAAGGTCACTTTTTATTTAAGTTTTACTTTCAGCATAAGATCAAACAAATTGCACTGTTAAAATGATATTTGGAAAAATATAATTAATTTATTAAAAAAACAAAAAACTAAAAGTATGTTTACTTTCAAGTGATTCATCACACCAACTGAATCTATCTATTATTCTATACTTACTAATATTATAAAGATAAATTTTAGTTTATTTGTATCGCAAATTCATTTGTTTATATTGTCTCATGATGGAGGGAACGAAACAATTACGTTCAACTGTCATTTCGCTATTAAGGCGGGGAAAAAACCGATTCGGATTTCCGCGAGCTCCTCGTTACTGAAAACTTAAGAAATATAAGTTAATTCTTAAAAAGTTACGCAACTTTTATTTCGTCTCGAAACTTATGAACACACAAGGTAAGTGGTACCGTATGTAAGCAGAAGGCCGTCTTTCATCTATTAGAGGCCTTGACTACATTAGGATAATCACAATACAACGCTGGCTCAAGGAAACTTGGCGCCCTGAGCAAAAGTCTGGAACTTGGTGTCCTACGCAAGACACTGGAACGACCGCCATAAAAAACCAGAAAAAGTTAATAATGTAGGTACACCAATTAAAATAGTGTATTTTGCCAATGACAAAAGATACTTTATCCTTTTCACAAGGCATAGTTTAACACATGTTATGATTCTTTGGCTTTCATTACTCGTTACATATAAGCTCGATAGTTTTTGTTTTCAGACAATTTCCTTTGATGCACACTATTTTTTTACTGTGGAACTAGGTGGAGAGAAATTTTCCCTCCCTGACTTTACAGCCCTCCAATTTGGTTCTCCTTACCGTTATTTACAGGACCGGCACCTGCCCTTGTTAAATTTTCCATTGATACTTTTGAAATAAAAATATCAAATAAATATCAAATATTTACATCTTTAAATTTAAGCATCATTAGATGCTTGTGTCAGGAGGCCTTGCTCTACCTAGTTACTTAGTTGTAAAATTATAGTGGTATGGATATGGTAATTTTATTTACACCCCATATAGATATGTAGTAGGGTATCAAGGATTGTACAAGGTACCATATGGCTTATCAGCTTTTTATTAGCCACGTATCTTAACTTCCCAAAGATCTACACTAGTTCCCTTATTCTGGAGCCTACATGATCGACTATGATCATGATCAATGATGAGCCTGCAATTGTGTTTTGTGTGTATCATAAAGAGTATTTTATCTTGTATCTGTCTATCGATTTGAGAATGCCAATTTAGATGCTGATCCAGCATAATCCCCAAATATCTTCCTATTGTTACATTATTAATAACAGAACTTGTATGGTACAATCGATAGTATCGCCTTATTATCACATTTGATATTTTTTATTGTAATATTTTAGTTAGGCTGTTTACTATTAAAATAAGGCATTTAAAGTAGGACGGTTTCTTTGAAGCCATTGTGACATATCAATTAAGATAAGATTCGGCACTTCTAAATATGTGTCATCCGTAAAAACGATTGAAGTGTTATCCGCTTAAAAAAATTGTAGCAGTAATCAATCTTAAAATTAGTTGAATCTTTTAATTAAATTAATAAGAAGTAGAGTATGACCTAGGACGCAACCTTAAAGAACTCCAAAAAGTATTTCAGGCTCGCTACTAATAGTAGTAGTGCCCCGTTTGCGACCCTACAAATAGTATTCAATCAAACGCAATGAAATATCCCTAATGCCATTTGACTCTAACTTATGTACGAGGTTGGCAAAAGAAACTGTATCAAAAGCCTTTTAAAGGTCTGAATTTGCATTCCTAATTATTAATGATGTCAAGGCTATAATGGCATCATCTGTGAATTCACCATGAAGCCAGTCACAATTAAGAATAATAGAATATTGTGATTTTTTGAGGTAATTGACAAGACCTTAGCATATCATGACAAATCCTTATCAGTTTTTAATAATTTTGGACATGACTGGTACAGTATTATTAATTTTATTTTAATCTTCGAATACAAGGATATTCCAAAACATGTTTTAATACTTCTGTCTGTTATTCCAGATCGATCCCTAATAGAACGACAGAAACAGAGGCTTGAATGTCTAGTCAAGGCCTTGGCCCAGGAAAAAGGTCATTTGGCCCAGCTAACGAGGGAGACACAGATTTTGGCAGCTCCCTTACCGCCACCCTCTGAAACACAGAAATTGAGGGAATATGTGGAGAAATTACGAGATCAATGCGATTCAATGGCAAAGAAGCTGGAAATGCCGCGGAACAGTAAGTTACTTAGTATTAATAGTAGTTAATAAGGGTTATTCTTATGATTACAATAAAAGCTTATTATTAGAGGGGATTCGTATCATAAGTATGCGCCAGTTACAGAAGAAACTACAAGTGCTCGCGTATTAACGCATGCAGATACGATAAAAGTAACGGCACAGCAGTGAGACTTTCTATACACGTAACGTGTTAATTTTCAGAGTGAATATAATATAATAATTATTTGGAAATTACCATTTGGCAGCGATATGAAAATAACAAATAATTACTTCGGCTCTGAGGTTAGGCATATTTGGAAACTTTGTTACATACCTATTGTCAGCGAGGTTCTTACACATACATCAGTCAGAATTTTTTGGTGTAATTTTTCACAACACAACCATAGATATCTTCACTTATTCCACGTATTAGATATTTTAATACCGATACGTGATCATAATAAGCTAAATGAAGTCCGGTAAAGATTGTTGCACATAAGGACGTGAATCGCATGCACATATATATTGTATGTATAGACGTTATTAAAAAAATGTATGATAAAAAAGTTACGAATTATTAAGTCGTTGAATATGTGTTGTTATTTATGATGTTAATTACGTATATAGTTTACATTATATATAACAATATATTCAACTAGTTTTAATAATTCGTTACTTTTTGCTTTCATATATTTTTAACAGATTCTAGGCGTTTTATTTTCCCTGTTTATTATAATTCCACAAAGTTTGTATAATGACAGAAAGTATTTGTCTACAGTGAGGGATGATAGGGAATCTGGTAACTTCTACAGCAACATATATACGGGACAACAGCCATCAGCATCGTGGCAGTGCCATTTGTGCACGTTCCGCAACCATCCACTGTTGAACAAGTGTGAGCAGTGCGAGATGCCGCGCATCCTAGGTACGTCCAACGACTCCGGTTTCGGGTCCTTTCGTGACTCGACGCGCTCAAATAGCTCGAGAGATAGAACCGAAATAATGGATCATCCATTCCAGGAAGACCCACGAGCTCTACCAAAATTGAACTGTTGAGTTCTACACGATATAATACTTATAACGTTCTTACTTCTTTAAGAAGATTCTCACACTCGGCTATAATGATATCTTGCTGATCTTTAATTCCTTTAATCTCTTGGATCTCTATGAAGCATACAAATTCTGCTTTCCATATTATCTTCTAGTGTGAAATTGGCAGTTTATAAAAGTGTTTTAATTGACTTGGCAACTTTTTGATAGGAAAATTTTATAATATTTACATTTTTATTTGAAATAGACATTTACTTTGGAATTACAGACTTTAAATAAAAATGTGAACTGTTACAATGACAGAGTTCTCGTGTTCCCTCTAGCCTTTAAATACGGAACTGATAATAAGTGCCTTAGTGTTGAAGTGACGTTGGTGTTACAGTGTTTGAGGCTCCGTGGACAAAACGTGCTTGGTTTTTAACCCCAGCATGAAAGCATGCAACTGTTTACATTAACTCAGAGGAAATTCCAACTAAAGAGCCAATAGAAAATGGAAAATTACTATTTTGTTGGAATTTTCTGTGTTTGAATCACGCTCGTATTCAAATATTGATGAGTCTGAAGAACCTTGCATGTGTGTTGGACTGTTTTAATTTTATTGATTTTATTAACCATTGTTGTTTCTTTTGTTATTTTGTGATTTGAATATCGACAGCATTCTAACTATATTGATTACATACCATACTATCAGCACTTATCCCCATAGAGACGAAATATAAGGCGACCCGACTCTGTCAACGGCTTACATATAAACATAAATCGCACGCAATTTTTGTCATCATGTCTTGTTTTACCGTCGAACAGTGAAACATTTACCGTACGAACATTTATTAGAATGACAAAAAATTAAACATAAAAATCGTTGCTAGGCTACCTTATTCTATATCTTAGACCTACATATATCCTTCTAATAAACAAATGTGAAAATTTTCTATATATGCCAAAATCCTCGTAACAAATAAAATATATACTACGTACTCTACTCGCGCCTAAAGTTCGAGTCGGACTATCTTGCATATAAGTTATGAAACCTTTTTTTATGAAAGTAGAACCTCGAAATTAAAAAAATATCTTTTAACTTGTTAAAGTAAGATTGAGATTGTTCCTGTATATAACATATTATGTAAAATGGAACGTAATGTTGAAGCAGTAATACGTGACATCCTTCCCACGCGTACCTATGTATTGCGTCTCTACAGAGATAAATACTCGCAGATTCCTTATAAATACTCTAAAAGATTTATATTAACACATTTTATGATGCTGCATATAAGCAAATAAGGCTGCATATACTAAGTATGTTAGAATGCTGCCGTGTGGACGTGCGGACAGAAGTACATTAAATGTATTCATAACTTGAACACGGTTGATTTTCGCACTAAATTTGATGTGCTCTTGACTGTACGATTTCTCACAGTTTTTCATAATGTACAGATATTTAAAATATGTAAAGTTATTTGTATTTTAGCACTACATTGTTTAACGAAATTATTCATTTATATAGGGATTAATGTTATTACACAATTCTATTTATTAGTTATTTTTAAGATTGGAAACAAATAATAATTATTATTATAATAACATCACTTGTTGACTGGTCAAAAAATGGGGCATCACAAGATCTCAATGAAAGACTATTTTATCGCGCCTTGCCAAAAATCTTTTAAAACTAATTTATTGCCTTAAGAACCAATATTGAGATTGCTCAATCTTTATCAGTTTTTATGTATATATATGCTCACATAAAGTATATTTTACAAGTTTTTACTGGATTCATGTTTGTAAAAAATGTAGATAAATGTTTTACAAAAATTATTGTTGTTAGAAATTGTATATTTCTGTTTGTTAGTTCAATTTTAATGAAATTCACATCACCTCGCAATAAATATAGAAATCATGAGTGAACTTATCACAAGCTAATGACCATATCTTTTAATTCATGCAAAATTGCAAAAGTAACATATCTCTTGTATAAGAATACTTCGATAGAAAATATCAAGCCTAATTTTAAAAAAGTACTTATTCAAATAGGAATAATACAGGTCTTTTATTGTGCTGTGTTATCGAATTTAACTGTGATAGGCAAGTGTTTGGTCTTTTCATACTTTGAATATATTATATATAATAGATATATGGCTTCTATAAGTATTATGATAGAAATGAGCTAAAGAGGACGTTACATTTTTAACTGGATGTAATGAAGCTATAATGCCTAATGCTCACGAAAATCATAGTATGTTTTTCAACACACTTGTTTAAAACATACATAATTACTAAGACTGGTTTTGTTCTATTTTTAGCTACAAAACGCGGGGGAGGTATTCTAGTCGAGACGCCTATATCTTTTAATATATTAAAAGTCAATAATTACAAAATAGAAGTTTATATTGCACATTTTTGAAATATTATAAAAACCAAAAAAATAATTTAGTTTATTTAATAAACTAAAATTGATTGTTCTAGGACACAAATATTTACTTGTTTTTTTTTTCAAAAATAATATAGCTATAAGAGAGATAAAATTCAGTATAAAATCATTTATTTATCGATTAAGATTTTTTGTACTGAAAAACTTTTCCCATCGCGGTTTTTCCTATGAGTTGTAATATGAACCTAAACCTAATGTAATAAGAGCTAATTTAACAACAAGTGTGTTGAAGAATACCTTTATTGAGATTTATTTTTAGTGTTATATGTGAAGGATAAAATAAAAACTACCCATATTTTTTTTATATATTTCTATGGCATATATATTGTAAAGTTACAGCGCATTATAAACATATTATATTATAAACATAGATACACGCCAAACACCTTTGCAAATTTTCAGGTAGTTATAATTATTTTCAAAAATATTATTTTTGAAATGCCATTGAAATAATTCGTTTTTCAAAATTTAAACGATAATAAATTATGGAAAAGTATTTAAGCTAGTAAATGAATGGAAGTTTTAATTTCATCAAACATAAAATGACAATTTTGCATTGGTAATATAAATTTATTGACATTTACGAAATTATCAATAATTTCTAACATTTGTTTGTTTTACTTCAGAAGTAACTTTACATTTTTTTATTGGTGACAGTCGTTGATCAACAAATAGATATACACAAAAATGTCACTGCAAGTAAAAACTTACCTAGCTTTATAATACAATCACACGTTATAATTTACAGTATAGATACATAATGATACTTAAATTAGTTTTAATCAGGAGTGTGATGTGATGAATGAAGCTTTGTGGTCAGGCAATAAAAGAATAAATAAATACATTTATTACCAACTTACTATCTTTTTAATGCCACTTGTTTACAAGTGTTTGCTACAAGGTGAGCTTTTTTTTTCATATTAATATGCTTTTAAATAAAACTCGTTTAACTCCTAATGTTGTGTTGTCGTGTGGTTCGCTTAGTAACTTAGTGAAGTGTGAGTGAAAAAAAATCTCATACATTTCTTATCTCTACACAGTTCGGGCACCAGAAGGAATAACTGTGCGGCTTATGCCAGGACGGCGAAGTAAGTATATCGACATTAATTAAGCAAACGCAATTTCCTTCAACACTTGTTAAGATTATAATATGCTATCGCAATACCTACTAATTATTAGGAAATATATTTACTGCATGATCATTGGCGCTTTAAGTCGAATAATTATGACTTGTAATCAACTTTCTATAAGTTTGCTATATGATTATAAAAATGTGATAAAACACGTTGAATTTCACCTCAATAGCATACTTAGTACCTGAGCGGTACCCTGACGATTTAAAAACAGTTTTCGACTTTTCGGCGCTAGTGTCCATGTTATAATAACTATTTATTCGGCGATCAATTGGCTTATTATTTCGAAATTTTTCATTTCAGAAATTGTTCGATCATGGGTATTATGAAGTGCGGACTACGAAATAAGTAAACTATCTTAAGTGCAGTAGTATAAATTGTGTGTACAAAATCTGTGATATTCGCATTTGGTAGTTAGTTTACGAAAAGTCTGATTTTTGTGTTGTACATTTTCTTTTTTCTCATTGAGATTTTGATTTCTCACATTCCAAAACCTTTAAACGTATTTTGAAAAGTAACCGTTTCTTTCCTATTCTCTCGCGAGTGCCTTGATGTACCAAATGCGAATAACTAAAGGTTATTTACATTTTACACTGCACTTAAGGTGGATAGGGAAGTCTTATTGTAAGTTAATTAGAAGTTACCTTTAGAAAATTAAGGATGTGTTAGATGTTTACGTAAAAATACTTGTCGATGAAAAGAAATATATAAAGCGAAAGAACAATTCAAAAAGTATATTTTTATACTTAATGTACCCTACCTATAGGGTGACATTTCGTAGTCTAATTTAAATACACAAGAAACTTCGTAAAGCTCAGAAATGTAAAGGTTTTTGTTTTTCTGAATTTTACTTTCGCTATTAAATTAGATAATGTAATTAAAAATTAAAGTAATTTAAAATTCAATCGAAATTATAAACTATCAAATTCAAGTAAATGTGAACTTTAATAATTTTAAGAAAAGTATTGCCATTTTTAACTTAGGCAAGTATTATTCAAATTCTTGATACTACTGAAGTATAAATTAATAAAAAAACATATACTTCACTTATATAAAGAACTTAAATACCTATTTGATAGGTAAATATGTTGATTTATTTAATAACTTACTATGTAAATTAGGTAAGAGTTCAATATTTTTTTATGAATCGGTTCAATAGTTGCAAATTGTACTTTGATTTATTTTCCTAAGGAAAATAGAGTACCTACCTAAAATTTGGTCACAAGCAAAAAAAGGAATAATTTACAGACCTTACGTATGATCCGGCAGGTGACGTTTGGCAACGAAGTTTTTTTTATATCCTTGAAATGTAACTAATTTTACTCTTTAGTTTCAAATTCACATGCATGAAGAAAAAGATCTGCAAGGTACATAGTTGGAACCTTTTCTCCTCTCACCATAGAACCTCTTTCCTTAAAATTAATAACAATTATGTTTCGATCATTAAAACGACGGGTGTTAGTATGTTCGATATCTTTAGCACCGCAGACATTAAGCCCTCTGAGGAACAAACGAAATCTATAAGAATATCTTGCTAGGGAAACTACTGGCGTAGTGTACTTTTCTTTTAAAAGACATTGGGGACAAATTAAAAAGAAAACCAGATATCGAACCAAGTGACCCTCGAAAATTGAGAGAAATTTATCATATTCAATTGGTAGGTCATGAAAAAAAAATATCTGCAGCTGTCGGAGATAATTATCTAAAGTGGTAATCATGGTATAATTATACCTATATTAATCAAAGGTGGTAATAGTTGCCTACTTATTAGCACTTTTTGCTTAGATACTGGCATTATGAAGCAGTATGAAGTTTATTCATAGGACAGTCGCAAAATATTAGCCCTAACCAACCACCGAATTGACCCAAAGTATTATGTCAGCGTTGGCAAAAAGGAAAAAATACGTATCGCTATCTATAGAACTATGCATCGTTTTTACCATCGAATTGCTGCTTTTAGTCGTTTTCTATTGGACGGGACCACGGTATTGGTATAAGTCGCTGATCAGATCACACCTGCCAGTCCTAAGAACAGAAAATAGTTATTGGTTTATCTTTTAACCAAGGAAATTATAAAGTTCCTTGCTTTTAAATTATTTACTTTCGCTTTACAGAATCACACAGATCAGAAGAGTAATGACGACATATTGAGCCATTATGTTGATCGCGATTGTGTATTCTGGATACAAAATTCAAATGAAATAGTTAAACGAATTCATTTGCCTGTTATTACCACAAAACCTACTCACCATGCTAATAAAGGCAGTAAGGACAAAAGATGCACTGGTATCTATTGTAACATGATTGTAACCATTTAATTCGACAAAACAATTATCTACGTTGGTAGGTACTTGTATAAAATATACACAAGAATTATTATTTAAATCGGATCTCACTCGCGTATCGGTCCAATCAACAGGACAGTCGACTACCAAGAGTATTGGACCAACAGAACAGTTTTCTGTGTTCTGTGGGTCCATTCGTTTTAATCATGATAATTATGAAATTGTTCAAGCATATATTATTATAATCATGCCTATTTCGAAAATTATTTTTTATTGACAAAAACATTAAATTAGATACCTACTACACTAGCGCACTCTATCAAAAAAAGGGATAGAATTACCTGGAAAGTAATGAAATATAGCTGATTAGGACAGATATGCCATACTTTCTGCCTTCAAAGGATAGAGTAGAGAGAGGAGATAGATACGGGATGACTTGTTTCATGGTGTCGCCATTTGGGATCCGGAATTTGTTTCACGATCAACTTAAACCGAATGTGGTTGTTTTGATATATTCATTATTTTGGTTTTCAACATAAGGGATATAATAACTACTTGGGTGCGGATAACGTCCGTCACAGAACCTCAAGCAGAGAATTACTCAAGTACTATAAAGTACCTATATAATCATTTTTGCCCTACCCGATCGTAGTAATAAACAATAACAATAAGCTTATACTATAAGCAAGGGATAATATAAAAAGGAGGGGCACTTATTATTAAAACAATAAAAGAAATAGGGTAGTGTATGCTAGATAAAATTCATGGAATTTAGAAAATAGGGAATAATATAAAGAAATTATAGTCGCAATAAAAATCATCATCAGAAAATACTATAACATAAATATTGAATTTTAAGTTAGAGCGTATCGATATTTACAAATTTCATCAGTGCATTAATAGGGATGACCACTGACACGAATTGTGTCAAAATGATATAATAAAAACCTCTGTGATTTCTAGTTGAAGCTTCAACTTCACAATGTATTTGTACTTATATAATAAGCATTTCTTCTATATAAAACTTGTGCTCATTTTGTATATGTATGTATAAAACCAGTACCTACATCACCACAGCATTTTTAGAATAAATCTAAAAATAAAAATTTTATGGTGGAAAGGCAAATTATCATAATTACAATTTCAATCTTATGGACATTAAATTATTTTCAAAATTCCCTTTTTTTAAATAATTAATATAATAAAATATACATTTTCAGTATAAAAACAATTTTATACATTTATTGGGGATTTATGTTAACATTGATTTGTCCATACATTGAACAACTGAATAAACTTAAATGTTACATTAAGTAAGTAAATCAATAGTAATTAAATAGACTTGTGCCAAATAACTAAAATATTAAAAATACAGAAGTGCAAACAAATATTTCATTTAAAATGACAATATTTTTGTGTGTTTTTTTGCAATTAGTTTATCTACTTTCCATAGAAACTTTGTATTTATCTAATACATAATTTAAAATATGATATGGACTTTGCTATGTGATAATGATGGCATACAAATTTTAGTTATTTGATTTTAAAATATTTAGTAATTATAAAGTATATTTATAATGTAAAATATATATTTTATTTCTGTATGATTTTATATTCAATCAGCACATTTATCAAAATAAACTTGTTATTGAAATTTGTTTAAACAGAGTTTTACTTATTTTTGAGTAAACTAAAAATTCATAGAATAAAAAGCTCTTGATAAATTTACAATAAGATTTAATATAACAGTAGTAGTAGTAAAAAGTTCAATACCTTTAGAGTAAGATTTTAAGGCCACTGATGCAACTTGTTTTCTGATGGACAAAATATGTCGGATAGTCAGTATAAACTTAGAATGTATTCATATCTGCTGTGTGTTTTAGTGTTTTACTTGCCTTCACTAACGGTTGCTATCTGTAAATTAGTTGTCAGACCAAGCTAGTCGGAAGGTGTGCAATCTAACCGTAGACCGACACAACCTTATCCAACAAATTTTGCACATTATAAAAATACAAGTAACTTATGGTGGCCCTTCAAAAATTCAGTGGACTTTAGAAAACTTTTGTGGTTGTATTATTTATAAATCTTCTATCTGATTACTCGATAGATTTGTTTCAGTAGGTATATCAATTGTGAACTAGCCAAATGTTCTACTAAATTCGACAATTTTTATTTATTTATTTAAATGGTGCTTAAAACAAGAAAGGCAATAAAAATGCACAAAAAATATGGAACAGGACATTTTACCAGACATTTTATTGCCTATTCCAATTTTAGCGAAAAATAACTAACATGTTTAAAAACAGTTAGGGTAAAAAAACACTAAATATATTCAAAAGTACAATCAACTACATATTAACACAAGCATATGCAGTCACAATTCCTCCAATTCATCTACAATACAAAATATATCTGACACTGAGGTTTTGCAGTACTGCAGTAGTCAATGATTATTTTATTAGATTGCAGTACCCCGTTCCAAGTTCTGTTTAATTTCAGCAGTGTGTTCACCATAAAATCTTTCCAATTTCTTATTGAATTTAGCATTCCTCTCATTGATATAGTCAATATCGGCGTCATCATTGTGCGTTCTCCTCCTCGAATACTTGGCTCTTTTAGCTATCTGTCCTTCTAAGTCATCAACCATTCTATCAACTGCTTCTTTACGATCATTGTGCATACCATGTATAATAACATTTGGTCCACCATAGAAAGCATCACCATATTTCTGTTTTTGTTTATCATATTGTTCCATATCAGGGGCAGACATGTTTTTGACAAGTCTGTTATATTGACGAACTGTTGCTTGCTCGTAAGTTGAAAATCCTTGGTCAGGATTCTTTTTCTTCTTTTTACGTTCTAATCTTTCAGCTTCTATAGCTGATATGTTCAAGAGTTTCACTCTATCGTAACTTTTGCCTTCTTTTTCGGCTTCCTCGCGCTTTTGTTGGTCTTCAAGTAGCCACTCAGCTTGTCGACGCTTTGCTTCGTAGTTCGATGGTAATTTGTTTCTAGCTTCTTCTGCTACTACTTCCTGGTAGTTATGAGTACGTGCTTCGTTTCTGGCTGTGTGTAATGAACGCAGTCTTTTCAAGCGTTCAGCTTGTTTCTCTGCGAACGTCATATCTTTTGAGACAGATGGAGATTCCATAATATCAACTCGTCTTGACTAAGTATTTTCCTTGGACTAAATTTTACAAGTTAATGCAAATTTAAGCACTTTTTTTACTTCTATTAGACACGATTCAATATTTATCTATTTTAAAGATAAAGACAAAGTGAAATAAATACGAATGAAACTTCACCTTCACAATTAAAAGGTATTAATTGTACCTATTATAGTTTCACAATAAAAATAAATATGAAATTTGATTTTGAGTGCACAGACTAGAGTAGCAGCTTACGAGTGGAATTAGGGATAAAATGATGTTTCGACTAAACAAATACATATCGATATATCGCCAAAATTAATGATACATGTCGATTTCGAACACCATCATATCGTAACCTAAAATCTAGTTAAATACGAAGAGTAAATATATATAATCTGTCTAAATTTTAACATCCAACGGCGTTTACTCACATTAGTAACACAGGTGACTTTCTCATTATTTTGTAACCCCGATTTTTCAAAAGGAGACTGCCCAAATCTGCTCCAGAGTCGTTTCATGTTTGAAATTAAAAACACGCAAAAGACTTAATGAGATCATGATAAAAACATAAACATAATTTACAGTTTTTAAGCAAAATAGAAAACATCCTACATAAAATTTCAAAATATAGTTAATTAAGTACACAAATTATTTCCTAGACACAATGGAGCCCAGAGTAATTTTATGTTTAAAAATGAAAAACACGTAATAAGATAACAATGAAAATATTGTAATGATTGACCTTTTTGATGCAAAAAATATAAACTTCCTATTTAGTGAATCTAATAATAAGATTAATAAAAGTACGCTCTCAATTTCCTAGAAAAATAGTGAAGATTTGACTCTATGGTTATAATCATAATGAAATCATCATTTTTTTATTTCACTACCCTCAATGAGTATGTAACGAATTTCTCGTTTTAATTATTTTAAAGAGTATTTTTGTTCGTGAAAGTGGTGATATTTCACAAAACAAAGTGAACATGAAAGTGAAAAACATTTTAATTCAATGTATAATATGGTACGTGTGTGATAAACGAGAAAATTGACTCTTAAATCTAGTTTGTTATTGCGAAAGGATTATCATGTTACTTTATTCCTCTTACATTTTGCAATTTGTTAAAAATCCCCTAAAAAGATTAGAATGTCGAACACCATCGTTAATATTAGGGAAATTACTATTACTGTTATAGTAACTGTAATTAAATAATAGTTAAATACATTATGTGTTAAAATTGTCGTATTACATTTAGAAAACGATATAAAAATTTGATCGTTTTCTGAAGAAATGTATAAAGAAAACACTATAAAAACGCATTTCTTTAAACGAAGCACGCAAAAAAATGAGAAGATTGCGGAATGCTTTGTCTTCGCTGAAAAAAGTGTTATTTGGGTGTAGATAGAGCGCTCTCGAGTTCATTATGCTAGGCATGCAGGATCCAGCATTACACGAAGTGGGAACACGCTTACAAGTCAGGCAGTAACCGCTACCAACTAAAAGCCGATTTTTCAAATATATTTATGATTAAACGTATTTTATTTACATAAGGTTTTGAATTTACTTAAGAGCCAAAAATACATAAATATCGATAATTCTTCTATGTGAAGCAATATATCGATATTGCGATATCGACTGAAACCGATACATATCAAATTCGATATATCGATATTTTTATGCAACTCGCATCTCTAAGGCTAATGAGGAATATTTAAAAAACATTAGTTCCCGAAATCAAACTAGATGTCGTTATGGTACTTTCTTGATTTCTCTATGACAACCCTTCCGGTTTTCTTTCATGTATAAAAGTAAATTAATTTTCAAAACTCAATATTCAACTCATTTGTACTTTTTCGTATTTGTATTGATATCTAAGTTTCATTCTTTGAAAATTTCAGTTTTTAACATGTTAGTTAAAGGAACGGAAATGACTATCCTTGGTCTATTCGATTCCTGCACATATGAATTTTTGGTAGAGTCGTCATCTAGTGAGGTGCTTTTTTAATACTACTTTATTCATTATGTTAAAGCAAAGAGATTACGGATTAATATCAAATTGAATCTCAACGAGGAAGTATTTAAAAAAAACATTAGCTCCTTAAATCAAACTAGATGTCGCTACAGTACGTTCTTGATTTCTCTATGACAACTGAAAAGTAAATTAGTTTTAAAAATAACTCAATAAACAACTCATATACTATTTGTACTTTTTCGTATTTGTATTGATATCCAAGTTTCGAACTTCTCAAATTTCAGTTTTTTCATATGTTAGTTAAAAAGAACGGAAATGATTGTCTCTGGTCCATTCGTCTCCTGCAAAAATTAACTTTTGCTAGAGTCGCCATCTAGTGCAGGTGCTTTTTTTAGTGCTTTCGTTTTTTTCAAATACTTCCTCATTCTTATATGGCAACATCCCGATATGGTAAGTTACTACCAAGGGCGTGAAGATCATGTTGGAGTTGGTAAAACAGCCGACCACACGGTAGGCCCAACCACCAAAGGGGTTGGAGCTCTAACCACCTATCGTGTGGATGACACTTAAAGAAATGAAGTATGCGGATGAATGGCTCACATGAGTGAACGATTAATGATCTAAGTGAACGAATGAATGAGAGGTAAGTTGTCGCAGTTTGTCGTTGTTTTGAAGCGGTGTTGGTTGTGTGGATTTTTAGTGCCAAAGTAATTCTTTTGAAACAATTTTTGAAGTGTTTGAAGTTAACAATGTCGGATGAAATTGCCGAAAATGGAACAACCAATGGAGACGTTCCAGAAATCGAGCTCATTATTAAGGTAACATTAGATTACACGTGTTATCTCGTTATTAGTCTCCTTCGATTAACACGGCACGCTTACATAGTTGGCCTTCAAGGATTAGAAGATTGTGAAGAGGTGGCAGATGTTTTTTATTTTATTTTATGAACTGAAAGCAAATAGAATAATATCTCAGCTAATAGAATGATATATGGAAACAAGTTTTGAAGTAAATATATAGTCTGAGACGAACTCTGGTAAAAGGGAGATATTGAAAAATTTAAGTTTGTCGTGCACAAATCGTGTGGATGAAAGTAGGTTTTAAATTATTGCACTTATAATGCTTACAGGTCGTTTACTATTTCGCTACTTGAATAGTATTCCTATAATTTCTACTGTCTGCACTTACACAAAATATGTATTAATTATATAACCAATAAAATCTGCATCCTAAATTTAATATATACAGGTAATACATAGGTGACAATTAAAATAAACAAGGATATTTAGTTTATGCACTGTATACAATTTATACACTGTATACCATAGCAAACACAGAACCCCAATTTGGTTTTGTATTATTAAACGTAACAAAAACATTAAATTAACATTATCGAAATATCATATATACTTTTGTAAGTGCTATATTACATATATGTATGTCTTTATTGTATGTATGCTGAAATCATTCAATGGATTTTCATATTACTCTTTTACTTAAGTGCTTATTTTCAACTTTAATAATAGTAAAAGTTTTTGTTATCACCATAATAATAGTTTAAATAAGTGTATAAATAAAAATGCATTACTGAACATGTGTCCAAGTCATGTAACATGGCAGCTGGCAAAATACCTGTGCACTGAATGTTTTATGGAAAGAGACTGCAACTGTGTTATAATCTATATAAATAAAAATTAATCCCTATTTGCCATGGTCACACTGGACTGGATTGATTTCACTAATTCTTTTTTGTTGTGTTTGTTATTGTCAGGGGAAGGTTCTTATGAAAGAAAAAATAAGAAAATAGTGTGGAAAATTTGTAAATTAAAGAATATTTAACTACCATATAAAATTATTTCTAATCTAACCTTAGTGATTTGGATAATATAAACTTTTTTATGTTATGATGTTAGACACAGAATTGAAAGAATGCATGCTGCAAATATTGTCAAATAGGATGTAAAAAACTGTTCGAATTCAATATTCATAATTAACACAGGATGATATCTATCAGGTTAGCTAGTAAGTGTATAATATTAATAAACAATAATTATGCTTACTACATTTTTAATTTTAGATATGACTGTATCCAGGCACAAACATATACCCTACCCTGTCTTTTAGTAGCCTTTATAGGTTAATGATAGGAACTATGTCTGGAGAAGATTTTTGGAGAAAAATTGTGAGGGAAATTAATCAAACAAGTTTTCTTTCCCTAGATAAACTAGTTTGTAGTTTGTTGGGTCAAATAAGTATCAAATCAAAAGCATCTTTTACATAGAACTTGTAATTCTTTTAGAGTTCATAAAGTTTTAATACATAACGGTGAAAAATATTTGGAGAAACTTCTATTTTATAGTTAGGTGTATTAATAGAACTTCCTCAAATTATTTTTAACTTCCTTAGACATATAACTTCATTTTATACTTCTTAGTTGTTTTACACTTTAAAACATTTTTTTTTAATTTTCAAAATTACTGAACTTTTTTCGATGAAACTTGTGCTCTTCCATAATTTGAAAGCTGATGTTGAAAAATCAAACAAAAATAATTAGGATTTAATGTTTGCAAGAAACAGATGGGACAAACATACATATACTTAGTTTAGTTCTACTCTAAGAATATATGTTGAGAAAGTTATATATACTAACATGTTAGATTATATATTCTATATCCTTACATATATTGGTCCATTTCAACAAAATTACATACATAGTCTACTTTTTATTGAAGTTTGTAAAAAAAAACAGAATAATATTTCTTTGATTAGTCTTGGGCTCTCATAAAAAGGTTTTTGTGTGGCCCAGACTGGGACGGAACTGAAAAATAGCTTTGATGATTCTAAAATTTATAGGTACCTATACATTGAGCACAGGAGAAGCTAATCTCCTGTGTGGAGCAGGTCTAGGTTTACTTCCAGGTGTTCTAATACAACATCTCTCACAGACTGAGTTTATCCCCTCCCAGTGGTCACATGGAGCAGTCATATTGCCATGACCGCACCAAGGACCGCCGAGTGGATTTACACCCCTGCTCCATAGCATAGCCCATGTTTACCCCCTCTAGGATTGCTAACCGTACTATATATAGTATTGTACACACGGCTTCACATCAGGTTATCACAAAATGTTATTGCAGTAAGGTTTAAAATATACTTGGAAAAATTTACAGTTCTGTATAGTTTGACGTGCAGTTGATTGTACTGTATTCAAGTATAATTCGAGTCTGTATATACTGTTGGAGAAATATATAGTATACAAAAATACTATATATCCATTCAACACAGTTTAATAAATCAATTCTTCATTTTAAAATTTATGAATGCGATGATGTGACAGTGTTTTTATATCCAAACACATTTGTAATATTAAATTTTGTTTTATATGAAAAATTGAGTCTAGAAATGAACCTTTACTTTCAAATAATTTTCTTTAATACATGAAATCTCTGTCAATGTTAAAGGATTTTCAAATGTCAATAGGGGTATTTGTTACTCAATACGGCTTTACATGAAATACTATATTTCGAAAAAATGTTGGCGAACCTAGCTCCCTCACAAGGTAGACGACAGCTACCCTTACCTTATCATGTAAGGTAGGGGTATATCTACATATAAAGAACATTTGAACTTGAGAACTGATAGCAAAACAGTAGTTCTGACCACCAGTAATAGTACTTTACGTACTTTCGTAATAGACCAGTGCGTTTCCGGTCGAGAGTGTGATGTTGTATGGGCGGACCCGAGAAAAGTGACATTTGTGTGTAGACAAAACGTTCTCGAGTTCGTCATGCTATGCGTGCAGGAAGACAATATCTCTACAATAATAACTTAGCTACTCACGACATATATTATTTTGATGCCTATACTTTTTTATTAATAGTGCTATGAGGTTTGCATGTCTTTACGATGAAAGTAATTCACATTTATTATTGCTATAATATTGATATTTGTAAATGCTCTTTAGACTTGTTTTGAACTATAAGAAAAACTTTTTTCGAGAGTTTTTTATCAAATAGACGGAGTGAAAGTTATTATATTTTTAGTTCCCTTACGTCTTTTAAATCAAGATACTAGTTTAGCTAATGTACAACTTCAGTATATTAAAACAATCACTACGTAAAATTCAGGATACTTATTCTTCGGAATCTTTTGCTAACAACACCAATACCTCGTGGTCCGTTTTCCGTAAATAGATTATCAATCCTATTAATATTATAAATGTGAAAGATTCTTTGTTTGGATGTTTAGATGTTTGTCGGTCAATCACGCCGAAAGTACTGAACGGATTTTGATGAAATTTGGTATACATATAGGGTATTAGCTGACTTAGATAATAGGATAGTTTTTATCCCACTTAACATTTCCCTAGGGTCCACGCGGGCGAAGCCGCTGGCGAAAGCTAGTATATAATAATATCCCAACTCATATTTTTATCAATACGATTTTATTTAGAATAATAACAAATAAATAATAACGGTTGAGAGAAGGAAAGTCGCGGAAACCGCCCATAGTTCGTGTTCAACGCTCGTAAAACGTTTCGTTGTTTTGGTCGTCCATCATCCGTATTGGCTAGACTTATATAATTTAATTGGCATCACGCGGATTACGGTTACTAACGATTGTTACATAGAATACGGGTGCAGCCGCCTGCGAAAGTGTTGATAATGTTGATCAATAAATTTTCGGAACAAATGTTTCTTAACATCATTTAAAAATAAATCTAAAACTTGGCAGTTTAGAATTCTATTGAACGTAACATAGCATCGTTAATTTTAAATGCAATGTTGGTAGTTACGTATGTTTTACTATTGTAATGTAATCATCGGTATTTGTATTTAGATGAATTGTTGCATAAATAGAAGTCCAAGTGGAGAAACATTCCACTCGTGAGAGCGCATGTACGTCTTTGAAACAGAAACTTGCCCAGGGGAAAGTGACACTGGCGTTGGACACGCGACGACAGATCGTACGTCCAGGGTTGACATGAGCTATTAGCATCGGAACTCAGCTTATACAAATTACATACTTATTGCACAAATTTATCCGTTGTCCTGAGTGAGAGTTCTCGCTTGTTAGTAAACACGCTAATTTCTCATTTGCACCATTTCTCATTATGATTTCGACCCTGTTTCTATAATTGGCAAGAATTCGCATGTAATATTAAATAAGAGATCATTACATGAAATTTATTATGAAAACATCAAATTAGTCGATATTGGGAATTGAAACACACCTATCTTTTACTGATAAAAGTGGTCGCCACATGACAGGTAAGTGATAAATAATAATAACTTAAAAACGTTAAGTAGGTATACTTATCATCTTGTTAAAATGAACCAAAATACATGAATTAAGAAAAGATGTTCTAAATCGAAATAATTGTTATTTGCCTTGTACAAAACCTTGTTATGATCGGTTCGATGTGATGACAAAAAGTTAACAGAAGAAACGTTACAAAGTATTAACCTTCAGTCCGTCTGCATAGATTCATCCCGCAGCCACGGAAACGCCAATGATATTATTATATAAAATTAGATTTTATAATTAGCATGAATTGTATTTATTTAGGTAGGTACTCGCCTATGCGAGAAGCAGTGGCTTAAGAAAATACTTAATACAGCCTGCCGATAATATGATCTAACAACCTCACTGCTGGGGCATAGGTCTGCCTAATAGATGGAACTTGGAAGCAGATAAAAAAATAATCTACCGGTATTTCTGTGATCTAAATATTTGTGCTACTGTGCTTATTCTGGACTTTCAGATTCAGAAAGGCTTTCATTATAAAGGTTTAAAACATTCTGAGGCTTTGCTAGTG